ATACAAGGTTTGGTTTAGGTGGGGATGGGGGTGTTGTCCAGAGCCAGACCCTACTCAGATGTGTACAGCAAAAGGATACGAAGAAATGGGTGTGAGTTATGAGAAGGGAAATTCTCATGGGATAAAGGGAGGAAATTCCTCATGGAGCGGTCATATGATGGAGCAGAGTCCTGGAGAAGTTGTGGGGTCCCTCCCCTTGCAAATATTCGGAATTCGACTGTACAAAGCCACGAGCAACCAGGTAACTCTAGAAGTAGCCCTGAAGTCACCTCCAACCTAATAGATTTTGTGATTCTTAAAAGTGGAGCCGTATGAGAATACAGCAGTCACGCAGCCACAAGTCAGGATTGCTGCTGATTGCTGACACCACTTGAGACGTAACATCAAACACTTGCCTTGGTGCTTGCCTTTCTGCTTCCAACAGTGGGACATGTGTGCATGAGAGCTTGTCTTTACTTCCCTTCATCTTCCCACCCTAATTTATACAATGAGAGCGTTTTCTCCCTCCCAAACTACTTGTTGAAAGTTATTTGCAGTATTCACACTCAATATAAAGAACAGGATAACTTGCATTGTAGCTGAAATATTCTGTATAAAAGATTCTTGTATAGATTTTTTTTTTGAGTGCTGTTTCACCTTGACCAACCTTTATTCCACTTTAAGAGAAGATGACTTAGGACGCTGCATGCGGTGACCTTGGCCAGAGAAGCCACGTGCACGGTTTGGTTCGTGTAGCTCAGAGGCTATACTAAGCTGCACTTGCTGGAAGGTATCACTTAACTGGTTTGTTGTTAGCGGTGGCAAAAGTCTGTTATCTCTCCGTTGTCCAAATGCAGCGATAAGAAATATGTAGGTGGATTTTTCTACCTCTTTATGGAGTGAACTGCGTCAGCTTCTGAAGAATCACAGCCATAATTTTGGGGAGCACGGGGGGGTCGGAGTGTTTATGGTTGTAAAGTGTGCTTTCTGAGTTAGTGGAATGTAAGATTAGCCGGTGTTTCTTTAATTAGCTCCAGATAGTCGCTGTTACCCCTACCTTTGGCAAGTGTCCACCAAACACAAGCGTCCAGGGGCTGGCTGGGTTTAGCAGATGGCGTTACTGATGTTGGGGCAGGCAGGGGGACGATGCTGGTGAAGGTTTAATTCCACCAAAGCAGGTAGCGGAGCTGTGCAAGCAGGCGAGCTGTGCAGAATGGGTAAAAGGTGTGTTTTATGGGCAGGAGGTGCTGTGAATTGCTGCTGTTTGGGGATATTGGAGGGATGGAGGGCGGCTTTGTGGGGCTGCAGTGTGGTCCCCAGGTGCCACACGGTGCTAACCTCCAGCTCACAGCGTGCTCCTGATGGAGTGTTTGCTCTGCATGACGAAGCACTGACGGCGAGGAGAGCTGAGGACGGGTTGGAAAGCATCCTAAAAGCTTCCTGATGTTTGCCAGGGTGATAAAGAAAACTTTGAGAAACTGGCTGAAGGCTTTGGCTGCGAACCATAAGCTAAATGCTGCTGTCCTCGTCTCAGGGAGCGCCTCATTTGCAGCGGGGTGGCCGATGTGCCATGCAGCCAGAGGGCTGGGAGCTCAGCAGGCTGAGCAGGAGGCATGGGATCCCCTCTTACCTGGAGATGGGGATGAAAAGAAGAATATCTACATATTTCTACAGAATATGTAGTCCAGCAGAAGATGTGATCTTGTATGGCTTTGATTCACACCTCTCTTCCACGTGATAAATGGGGTTAGACCTCTACATGCAGGCTTCCAGAAGATATTCAGCCATGTACATATGAGAGCAGGAGTAAAACTTGGAAGAAGAGATGACTGCAAAGCAGATTAGGGAAGAGAAGGATAGCAGCAGGAGTCTGGGAAACAGCAGAAGGAGCTGGGGATGTGCTGAGAAGGTAAAACCAGTAAGTACAGCCAGGAAACGGGTGGTGAGGGGGAGCCGACTGTGGAGCGGGGCTGCAGTGAGTAAACACAGGGAGAAGACTTAAAGGAAAAAAAAAATTGTGCATCAAATTAAGGTACTCAAATGGGTTATTCTTTTAACGTGGGGAAGCTTTTCCTTGGTCTTTCTGAGGTGGCACACGTATTTCTCAGTTGTTGGAGCAGATTTAATGCTTTTTGCTGTCAGTTTTGCTGTCACTTTTCTCCCAGATGTAGAAAACCAATTTGTTGCGTTAATGTTTTCTTTGGGTGCTGCAGTTAAGTTGCATCACCTTTATTTCTGCTACAGCCCTTCCCAGGGAGCTGGCAGGCACGTGGAGTGCCGCTTCATCTTTGAATAGTGCAATCTGAGCTAAAAAGTGCCTAGGGCTGAATTTCGTACCGGTGACAACCTTGATGCTGATCCCCTGCAGCCGGTAGGTTCCTGCCTTTGTTTTGGGCTCCCGATGCCTGGATTTGTGACAAGATCTGAGCTTATTTGACGTAAAATCTTCTCTTTTTCAAATGCTAGCAGCGGCGTGCCTGCTGATGAATGGGGTTTCTGGGCTGGGTTTGCCATTCTCATACTGTAGCCACGTTTCTACCTTGCCTCCAGAGCAGGCACCAGCTTGGTTTGTTGTGGTCTGTGCGGGTGGTCGGGCCCTCAGCACTCCTCTGTGTCGGGCTTCTGTGTACAGATAAGAAATTTCCTGGCCGATTTTTGCTTTCAGACTTCCAGGGATGCTGAAACTATAAGAAACAGGCCCCGCGTTTGGTTTCTAAACGCAACTGAAGGCAAACCGCTCATCCGAGTCAACGAACTCATCGAGCTTTCCTGAGGCTTCCGCGTTTTGGAAAGTCGCCTCGGTGTAATAGAATAACTGCAGAATAATTAATTGTTGAAGAGACTAATGAGCTCAGTTTTTGGAGCGGCGCTAATCCCGTGTTGAACTTGCTGCACTGAGCGGGATTTCCTGCTCGTGGCTCCCGAAACCGTGCAGCCAAAGGGGTTTCGGTGCACGGGGTAGGAGCCGGCCGAGGATGGCCCTGACCCCGTTGTCTTGAGTCGTTACAAAATAGAAGCTCATCTAGTAAAGCTTGGTTTACGTACTTCTGAAGAACTTCAGTAAACAGTTTAGATTACTGGGCAGTGACGGATGCTTCCGATCCGTGTAGTTCTTTGGCTCAATCTCGTTAAGTGAAGCCGGGTCCTGGAGAGAAGAGAGAAGTGGTTTTGGAGGCTCCGTGGAGGGGATCTCCGTGCGTTTTTGGGTTTTGGTGTACTGCGAGTATTTCAGTACTTACGTGACTAAGTGGATATTTATTTTGCCTTAATGTGTATTTGATTAGCTATAAATACTGGAAGCTCTAAAGCCTCTATTTCGCTGTCTGTCTCTAATCTTGGCTTTTGAGGAACGTTTAATGTGTCATTGTGGTTACAATTAATCTGCGTGTGTTTTAGCAATTAGCGTTTATGTGCGGCAGGCAGGAGCAGGCTCTGGCGACTGTCAATCAGCGTCTGCAATGGGCCGTGAAAAGGGAAAGGAGCCTGAAAAGAGCCAGGAAAAGGGCAGGTGAGTTACTGCCTGGTGACTTGGCAGCAGGGACGTGGTGGCAGGCACCCCCTGTGGCCCGAGGGGCTTCTGCCTCTTGGGGTGGCGAGGAGCACGGGAGCAGCGGGGTTATCGTTATCGTGGTGGCTGATAAAGCCAGCTGGTAAGTTACTGGGTTAATGGGGCAGAATTTAGTGTTTTCACCATCTCTTGTAACAGCTGTTAAGTTGTTGTAACTTCTCGTTATGCGGAAATGTTTGCTTTGAAAACAAACTGCGTGATCTTCCAGGAAAAATGCATATACCTGCTACCTGAGGCATGACGCCGCAGTTAACCTTAAATACGTAAATAAAAATCAAAGCAATGAGCTCTTCAGCCTGGCTAGGAGTTAATCTCGCTGTTCTATTATACAGACAGCAGCAGATGGAGCAGGGAAACAATTTGTTTTAAAGAGAGAGCACCTCTGGCAGCGTGCGGGGTCGCTCCGTGTGGAGCCCCCAGCCCTGAGTGCAGGATTGCTCTGCTAAGGATTGCTTTTCCCTCGTTGTTTCCTTTGAGGCTTTTTGCTTTTTAAAGGAGGTGGAAAAAGTGAACAGCGAGAGGGAGTGGCGGCAGAGTGAAGTAAATCGGGACCTGGGGAGGATCTGACGTGCGCGGGGCTGGGGCTGCTGCTGGCTCCTTGAGCGAGGCGCTGCCTCCTGGAGAACATGGCTGGGAACGATGGTCCCTGCCCTGCTGGAGGTTACAGGAGGAAGGCATTATGCTGGGGTCCTCGTTAACGAGCTTTAATAAGGCCAGTGCAAATGGATGTCTTGTCCTCTTGCCTCGTAAGCCCTGTGCTGCCCTGCAGCCCTCTGCAGGAACGGGACTGATCACCAGTGATCTGTGGGGACAGCGCCCGAATGCCCCCATTTACAGGGATTTACCTTCTTACAACCTTTTCGTTTGTGTTTGGGTTTAGTAATGATGTTTTTGTTAGTAGTCCATTGTGATTTTTATATATTTCCTTGGTAGCTAGCCCCCGTAAGGCAGCTGGCTGATCTGTTTTGTGGCTTTGTGTTTTGTTGATCGCTTCACTTCTGTGTAAAACCTACACTGTGATACAGGCTGGAAACCACTGGATTACTGTTTATTTTATTTAAATGACCCCTTGGAATTTATATTAATTAGCACTCCTCTGTTATAGGCTGTTTATCCCTTTCAAAACCTTGGAGGCCAGCAGGGCTGGGTGCCATCAGGGCCCCTGGGCATGGGGACAGGGCCCGCAGGCACCTCTGTGGCGTGTGGGGCGACTCGCTGGGGGGATGGGGATGGCTGGAAGCCCCCTGGCCATGGGGGCCTGTGGGTGGCCAAGTTCATCTTTGGGTTCTTGGAAGAGGAGATAGGAGAGCAGTGCTCTCACCTGAAAGGCAAAAACAGGTCGTGAGCTGGTTCTTGGTAGTTTCAACCCATACCCACCACGCACGCGCTTCTCATCGTGCCTCACCTCAGGAATTCACCACAGGCTCTCTGACACAATCTTTCTTCCCCACAGGTGCCGACGTGGCCGTGACGGAGCCCAGCAGCTCCGACAGCCGCGTGGAGCGCTCGGACCCCTACGGCAACGTGGACGAGGCGCTGGTGGGCGGCGAGGCCAGCTACCTGGCGCAGCCCCTGACGCCCGACAAGGAGGACGCGCTTCAGGCCGCCACCGTCGCCAACCTGCGGGCCGCCCTGATGAGTAAGAACAGCTTGCTGTCCCTGAAGGCCGACATGCTGGGAGAGGACAGCTCGCTGCTGTTCGAGTACCTACCCAAAGGCACGCACTCTCTCTCTCGTAAGTTTGTGTTTTTGTATTTATTTATTTTTTTGTTTACTGACGCTTTACGTGGAGTCGTTAGCGAGAAGAAAACGCAGGTCTCTGTCTTATTGCTGCCAATGTATTTGCATCTGGTTTTAAGTTCTGCTCAGTCACACTTGCCGTGAAATTTGGAAATGTGTTTTTGGTATTGATCCAACTTCGATGCGAAGTGCTGAAGCTGTGGAAGGCAATCACGCAGTGTGTGCATAGCTCTTGGTGTCAAACGCCTGGTTTACGTGTTGGCAGAAGGAAGTGACGATCCAAATCCACATGTTTGCGTCCTTTTGTAGCTACAAATGTTTCGAATCCAAAACTGACTGATGTTGAAACTGAAAAGGGGGAAACTTGAACGTTCATAGAAACAGTTATGATGTTGTAGATGGTGCGATCTTTCTCCTATTTCTGGCAGGATCTCTAGGTAACGGGCAGCTATTAAATTGTTTTCTTACGCTCGTGCATGGAAATGAGTGTTTCTCCGTGGGTGATATGTCAGGTGCAGCTGATTTGCAGCAGCCGGTGTGGACAGCTTATCTTCCAGCACATTTTCTTCATTGCTATTGTAAAATGCTTGGATTCTCTAGCACTCTGAGAAAGAGAAGCTATTAATGCTGCATTTTAGTAATCTCAAAAGATGGGGATATCTTCTGTGATATAGCATAGAACAAGCAGTGAGTTGTAGTACTGTGTGTTCATTTTCAGCAGAAAAAGAGTATTTTCATTTACGCTGAGAAAATTGACCAATTAAATAGAACGAAAGTTCACCTAAGATAACTATTACGTTTTTATTTTCCTCAATGGCAAAAAAGAGAACTCGTAATGGTCACCTGGGTTGCATGAAAAAGGGAGATAACTGTACGACATAATGTCAGTCTTGGAGCCTCTTTTCCCTTTACATGTCTGAACAGGAGAATTTTTATTTATTTATTTTAATCTGTCTAAATTTAGAGAGAAAATAAAGGTTTTGTACCTTATTCTGCAGCTTATATGTCTGGGTGGAATTGCTGGTGCAACATTCTTGTTATTCCCACAGTAGTTCACTTACTGAACGATCTCCAATTAAATCAGATTTAGAAGGTTCCAGCTAGGCTGCTGTGCTGAAAATCCCTTCGTTGCAATGATCCAGCAAAGGTCCTCCGTGGCAGGCTGGCGTGCAGGGAGAAGAGTGCCCTCAGCTGGCACCAGGCTGGGGTAGGAGCACAGATCACCGCGAGATTTATGCGCAGGGTGTTAGAATCTGTGATTCATGACAGATGAAATCAGCGGTTTTGTCTCTGTCATGATAAAGTGGAACAATGACGGGACTGCACTCCATCCATCATCTCCTCCTTGGTTGGAGGATTTTAGATTTTCCTTAAAAAGCTGATGGACCACTTGGCTTAAAGACAAATGAGTGTAAAGCAGCCATAAATTCGGGCTGGAAACTACAGATTGCCTACCCAGCTGAGAAGTGGAGTTCCCAAACAGGCACGGTGTAGGCAGAACTCCAACTGGGTCTGAAATAAAGCCGGAGAGACTCAGAAGTCGGGGTAAGCAGTTTGATGGATGCGGTGACTCAGGAGGTGCCCTCCAGTCTATATTTGAGGTACCTGCTTTCCAGGCTTCTTCCTATTACTCGGATTTCATTCAGCTAAGCTTTAATTAGCTCATCTTTCTGGAAGAGAATTGCTTAAGACAAAAAGATAAACTGCTCACTTCGTGCCTAGCTCTCAACAGTAAGTCGATGTGGCTGTGGCTTGTTAAGAGAATTTTTACAGAAGCAGGGAATTAGGGGATGTATTTTTTCTTTTATGTGATTCAGATCACAGCTATCTATTTATTTTAATCACTTGAAGAAGATGTTCTGATATGACTCGCTTGTTTTTAAGTAGGTCATTATTGAATACAATAGGACATCCAGTTTAATGAGAATTTTCAGCATAAAAATGACAGCAAAGCAAGTGATGAGAAGAACGTGGAGCTCTGAAAACACAGCCTAGGTTGGTGCTTGCTTTGTTAGGTGTTTTTCACATTTTTCTTCAAACACAATTTGAGGATATTGAGTCATTTTAAGTCCTGGGTTATACCCAAAAAAACGGGGGTGATGGGGAGGGCAGGAACACAGCGAACGAGATTCTTTTTTTAAACACAAAAACCAGCACAGTGCGTGGCAGTTCTCACCTGCCTGATCTAAAAAGGAAACATGCCGATCTCAAGAATTTTAAGTGACAAATCTCTGGAGTTTAAAAAATGTAAAACGTATTTCAGACCTTAACTGCTGTCTCTAGACTGTCTGTGTTTTCTTAGAAGCCAATGCAGTGAGTAACTGACTCAAGCAGCTGGTTTAACATCTATTTTCTGGAGGAAAAGACTTAGTTGAAGTGGAGAGATCAGAGAGTATATTATGCGTGTTTAGAAACGGCTCATCAGGATTGTAAAGGGGCCGTAAATCTCAAAGTTACCGCATACATTACAAGTTTTAATTTTTCTTCCACATAGTTCCTACTGTTATAAAAGTTAATAGAGGATACCCCAAGGTTTTCATTTTACCTCGTGTTCTTTTTTTCCTAATTCAGTATATATTGTAACGATATATGAGCTGTGAAATTACTTAACACTCAGTTAATGGAAAGTGAAGCACAGGATGTGGGGAGTTGTTTGCTTCTTTTAGAAGAGCATCGCTGCAACACAGTCAAACTTAAATACAGCATTTCTAACGTTAACTGGTTCAAACTAATTTAAAAAATAAAGAGAAAAGTATCCTGCCATCCCGGTGATGGGATTGCCAGATAACCTGTGGCTGGGCAGCTTTGAGAATTCATGAAGCTCGTGGCATATGGTCGAGATTGATTTTATCATCATGCCAGTCAGAAACCTGAACGTAGTTTTTGCAGGAAAAAGTAAGTATCAGATGTTCATGGATAACACCGATGTCTTCTTGGGTATTGCTAGTTAACAAACCTGCGCAGCTTCTTTTTGGGGCTGTCTTTTTTCAGACGAGACCATGTCCGTTGTTCAGCTTTCCTCATCTTTACATGTTTTTGTGGGCTGTCTGCAAAAGGTTATCCTTCGCCTCTGAGAACGTCTGGTTTGTTTCACTGATGGTCCTGGACTTTGGTGGCATTGTTGCGTGCGGTTCCCCCACATCCACACAACGCTCAGAGGCTTTAGTTGAATGTTCTCAGAAGTTTCTGCCAAGTGTAATCAAGAGGACGAGGATTTTAATACTCATTAGAAAGCGAGTCGGTTACTTTGCATCCTTGTGTTCTCGTTTAAGAAAAGAAGCCTTTCAGATTTTGGGGGGATTGGGTCTGACTGCCATAAAGAGCAACTCTTCCACATTTTGGGAACAGTACATTGCACACTTCTTTATATGTCTAACTTTGGCTTTTCCTGTTTACCCTATTGCAACTGAAACTGTTTATAGAAGCAATTCCTATGGAGCGTGTTGTCCAAGTGATTACATGGTGCACAGAGCCCTTTTCTTTTGGGCAGCCCAGCTAATACTTTATTTTTAGTTAGCGGTTCATCGGAGCCAATAATTTATCCTTGCACTGGATGTTAAAGGAACACATTTTACGCAGTGGTCAGCTCTCCCAAGTGGGAGTTAAAGGTATTCACTTTGGCACGACAATTTTGTACACGGTAAACCCAGATTTAGGGGAGAATGGATGTAATTTTAAATGAGATATTATAACCTTTGCCTTTGTTTGCCACAATAGCTCACTGTCCAGCTGCCAGAGAATCCTGTATTCATGTAAATGCTGCTGAACCAGTGCATCATCCTCCATACGCAAAGCTGGCTGAAGGAAAGCACTTTTCATTTCTGGTTTAGAAGTTAGAATACTTTTCATTAAAATCTAATGAATGCAAATTTTGAAGGGAAAAAGGGTTCTCCCAGTTCTGGTCTGAGTGGAACAAAACGTGAATTCGGGTGCTGCTCGCGTTCCTGTGTACGAAGTACGGCTCGCCTTTGTGGGGTTCTCTTCTTGTGTTCTAGTTGAAACCAAATAAATATCAATGCTTGTTTTAAAAACCACATTTGTACCTTTTTGCTGTGTTGTACGTGTTTGTGGCTCGTTGTGGATGCCTGGGTTTGTTTCTCCTTGCTCTGTTTCATCGCTCATCCATTAACTCGCGCTTTAAGAAGGGTGCAGTGATGGTTTCTGGCAGGGAATAATGATAAATTCACTTTTTCCCCCCCATTTTTTTTTCTCCCTTCTTCCCTTTATGAGGTCTTGGCACTTTGGTCCCCTGCCTTTAAACTAAAAGAGCAACAGATGAGCCCCAGCAGAACAAAACCTTCAAGTCTTGTTATCACACTTCAGCAGAGTTATCTAAGTTGTGAAAGATTTCAATCTGTGATCAAAGCAGAGGAAGGCAAATCAAACATCCAGCTTGTGGCACTAGAGGAGAATTTCCTTTGAGAGCTGATTTAAAAAAAAAAAAAAAGGTTTGGGATTGTTCAGATTTAGAAACCTTTGTGCAGTTTCACTTGAACGCTTTGTTGGGACCTTGATCGCAGTGTATTGTATTCAGGCAAAGTATAAACTTTGACTTGTTATTCACAGCTGCATTAAAGACTGTGGGTTTTTATGTGCATAAAAAATTCAGTCGTACTCGTTTGTATTAGAAATAAAAAGACTTGAGGGCACAGTTTGCTTCAAATACGAATTTGCTTATTTTTGTGCAATATTCACTTCTGATTTAGCTTGCTTGCTTTTCAAAAAAAAAAAACAAACCAGCAAACCTTGCTCAGTGCATCATTGCAACGTACAGTCGAGGTGTTTGTTAATGTCTGTTCAATTATTTGTAACGTACGCCGGTCGTGATTACACGCTCTTCATTTCTCTATGGATTTGTCACTGATTGCCAGCGTCGTTTTGGGGATATTATGTACTATTTGGCTGTTCCTACAGATAGGCGAGCAGGTATGACTGCTTCCATCAGACAAACCACGTTTTCCTTGCAACTACAGCAGGATTTTAGGATGTAACAACTGTTGGGCAGCATTCAGTAGCTTTGTACAACTATTTGAACCCCCATGCTTGCTAGGTATAGAGTCAAAGCCATACATAAATATACATATTTCATCTTTTGTAAAGCACTTTGAGATCAAAGATGAACAGCACTGTGTTAAATAAAACACTGAGGTCAGATCTTCAGATCTGAAGCTAAATTTTCGAGAAGGTTTGGTAGCAGAACGTTTGTCCTGTGTATGTTATGTAAAGATTTGAATGTATACGTTTGAAGTGGTGCTTCTCGAAGAAGTGTCTTCCAGAAATGTGATTGCTCTTGGACGTTTGTGCCGCACCGTGCTCCTGTCTCCCGGCGGACTCCTTTAGTGGCCGTGCCATGGGATAACTCCACCGCATGCAGCTCACACGCAGACGAGACGTTTTGGGTGGGGAGGCTGGGTTTAAACACACAAAAAAAAAAAAAACAACAAAAAAAAAAGCCTGGCATCACTGTACTGCTGCATTCCCTCCCACTGCCAGAAGATAAGCTGCGAGTGCTCATTCCCTGCCTTTTCGAGGCCTTTTTAAAAACCACCAGCTGGTGCTAGTTCACGTGGGTGAGATTCGTTTCCTGTGTTCCCCAGGGCCTGGCACCAACTTGAATCGTTCAAGGGGCGAATGTGATGGCAAAGTGGAAGCACCATCTCCCCCGCTGCCTTCAGCACACCTTGCCACTCAGAGCCCCCCCGCGGTCTGCTGCTCTGGTGACATGTCACCAGAAGCCATGGCAAAAGGAGAGATGCCTGCCTCAACCCAGGTAAGATCGTGGGGGAAAAAACCCAAAGGTATCTGTGTAATTAAATAATCCCCAGTTAGGAGCACTTGGAAAGACTGTAATAGCTTTTATTTGATCCATTAGCTGTTTTTTAAAAAGATAAGGTAATTTTAAAACTAGAAATCCACTGAGGTCAGGGCTGGCATAGTCCTCGTTTTCCCCTTTCAGCCTTGCCTCAACAGAATGTACATTCGAAAAACTGTATTTATTTATTTATTTTTTTAAAGAAAATAATGTTTAAGAATATTAATGATGGCATAAAGGTAGCCAAGCGCCCAGCTCTCCTCTGTCCATTCCTGGTGTTTCGAATTTGGGTTTCTTGTAATGATCCAGATCAGGTTAGCAGCAGACTGCATTTATTAGGAGTCTGGAGTTTGACATAAAATCCATAGCTTTCTGTAGCTTTCCTTAGTTTTCCTGTTTTTTCAGCGAGCCTTTAGTCCCATCAGGCACGTGAGGGGAGCAGAGATTTTCCTTTGCAGTCACAGCAGAGCACAGCGGGTCGCTGAGATCGGCTGGCAGCCGCCTCCCCGGGCTGCAGCAGACCTCCCTCACACAGGGTTGCCATCTGCTGCACGCTGGCATATTGCAAATGGGTTAGGGAAAAAAGAAAAAAAATTAAAAAAAAAAACCAGCTTTTATTTATAATGTGGATTAGCAATGCCAGGGAGCGTTGCGTAAAGGGAAGCGAGCAGAACGGGTTTGTTTTCTCTGGGCTTTGCTGTGTGGACAGGCAGATTAGCCATGTGGGGCTAGGGGAAGGTTTTCTGCTCCTTTCCTAGCTGCTGGAAATCTGTCCTGGGCTCCTGCTGGCCTGAGAGGGAGCTACAGATGCTATGGGGCACTGCAAACTGAGGAGTGACTCAGTTACCGACTTAAACATTGATTTCTGCCTTTAAACGCCAAATCTTGTAGAATATGGCCCGGTTAATTTAGCTGCTTGGACAAAGCTTGGTAAAGGTGAATAAGGGGGTGAAGCCCCCTTAAACAAGGGACGAGGGGACTGATAAGAGGGGAGGCTGAGCATTAGCTACGAAGATGCCCTGTAAGTACTTACCTTAACCTCAGTGTGCTTTTCGTTTGCAGGCCGCTTACGATGGGTTTTTAGCACTTTGGCAGTTTAATAACTCTGACACAGGTAAGTAGAGAGTAAAAACACTTATTTTTAATTACCATTACTTTATGCCAGGAGACAGTGATTTGTGTGTGTGCATTTCTGTTCCAGATCCCTGCTTTTTGAGGTCTGAAGACATGGACTTCGCTACCGATGGCCTGTTGCTAGATTCAGCCCTAGCCAAGAGGCTGACCTGTGGCTTCTGCAGGAGGGTTTTCGAGTGTGCCGAGAAGCTGAAGGAGCACATCCACGAGCACGCCTTCTCCATGATCTTCCCCTTCGACTTGGCTGCCTGCGCCTGGCCTGGCCTCGCCGAGGGGGTGCCTGCTGGCCAGCTCGCCCGCTTCCAGTGCTCCAAGTGCCCCGCCAGCTTCACGCTGAAGTCCAACATGGATCGGCACGAGAAGACCATCCACTTCAACTGTAAGAAGATGCAGTGTCCTCACTGTGCCAAGCTGTTTCGCGACAAGACAGACTTAAAGAGGCACCTCATGTCTGTGCACTCCAATGAGCGTGCCTTTGTGTGTCTCTTTTGTGGCAAGGGCTTTGGTACGCAGAAGAACCTCACGAACCACGTGAAGGTGTGCTGCCTGGCCTCTGCCCAGCTGGGCGGGCTGGGGATTTTGGACAGCGTAGAGCAAAATGAGGAGCCTGAGGAGGTGTAGCTGCTGTCGTGTGTCCTAGACCTGGCTTTTAAACTAGGAAAAGCAAATTGTTTCCTTGTTTTCTTGCTGCAAATAAACTTACCGCAGGTGTAACAGAAGAGTTAATTCCCCAAAACCCATCAGGTTGATAACGTGCTGGTTCCAGATCCTGTGTAACTGCAGCCACGGTGCAACTTTTCTGTAAATTTAACTTCTGTCAGTCTGTATAATGGCACTTGGGATATTTTATTGGTATGGTAATACGGTGCACTTAGTGTCTTAAACTTTATTTATCAGTAGATCTCAAAGTGCTTTATAAAAGAAATGGTGATGTTTTTTTCTTATTCCCTACAAAAATAACATACCGAAACTTGTGAGCATGTGTTAGCAGGAGAATTAATAACAGAATTCAGTCGGCAGTGTTCTGCTCTAGTGCTCTGTCCATTAGAGAATTCAGACATTTCAGGGTTTTTCAGCTCATGATGAGCTGTGAAAGCACAGGGTTGCTTAGCACTGGAAGTTGTTTATGAAGTCTGTGTTTCTGTCTCATTAAAGGAGAGGGTGGAAAGCATGCTGCTCGTTCACATGTGCAACAGGGTATGGCATTTGGGCTTCAAAACTGTCACAAGGCTTATATAGTTTAATACTGGATATGTTTGAGCGTTTTAGGAGTTCTCAAAACTAATGGAGTAGGGCTGGGGCTTTCTGGAGTTCTGTAATTTTTGACTGATTTGTTTAATATAATTATGTTAGCCAAGCTGAATCCGTGTTTTTTGAAGGTGAAGATTTTTATAGATCTAACTGTAAGGTATGGTGTACGTACAAAATTAGGAGTGGTTGTCACTGGAAGGTAGAAATCTTGCTGTAATTCATATTTTGTTACATGAAATCCATTTATTTTTTTAACAGTTAAATATTTACGTCTCTTGCTATATATTTACATGCAAAACCAGATTATAGTAACTGTTAAATGAAAGTAGCATAATTAAGTGTAGTGCTCTCCAGCTGCGCTGTGCAAAGCACAGCTCGTCAGCAGTTTGAGCTTTAGTGTTGCACGTCTTGTAGCTTTGCTTTCCTCAATGTGCAGGGCGTACAACCAAGGAGACGAAAGCAATTTCTTTAGAGGTCTTCAGAAAAGTTAGCTCTCTCCATCCCGTTGCATCTCGGGGGGGAAAAAATGCAAAGTGGTTGTGCTCAAAGTGGACTGCAGCAGCCTGGAGGTCTCCCCAGTGGGGAATTTCTTGCAAGGTGTTTTCCTGTGGAGTGGTGGACAAGAAAAACTTGCTGTTCCCTTCTGCCCTGTCCCTGCAGAGGGATGGGTTATGCTGGTGTAGGGCTGCTCTGCCCATTCCTGCTGGAAACCTCAGCTTTAGGGACGCAGCTCCGTGCTGCACAAAGGCTGAGCTTCTGAGAGCTGGGAAGCCAGAGTTTCCCAGCTTGCCTTAGCTCTTACTCTTCATTTAGGAAGGGTGTAGTCAGAGCTGAGAATACTTTCATGCGTAATCATTGCAATACACCGTACTTTTTTCTTTCTTTTGTCAACGTCTCATTCATTTCTCTTGTCGTTGTTCCCATCAACTTCTTTGGCATCGTGTCTAGTTCGTGGTGTGTTAGCTGTGCTTGTTACAGTTGTCATCTCGTTAATTGCCTCCTAATTTACTTTGCTCTTCAGTGATCAGCAAAGTGAGACAGGAGAGAGGTGAGTGAGAAGAGAAAAGTTGTTACTAAAATGAGTCTTACCTGGTAGTTTGGGAGCAGCACGGTGGGATTTGTCTGAATCAGAAAAGCGAGGTGTCAGCAAAAGTAATTTCAGCAAGTTCTAAAAGGTTTTGTTCACTGTAAGAGTTTCAAAGGCATTTCAGGTTGTTTGACTTTTTTTTTTTGTGCTGCAAATTTTGATGCCATTATAATATCGGTAACAAGGCTGGCTTTTGTGATGTATTCAAGGGACAAAAGGGATGGTGTTGGAAACCCAGTCACAGTCATCATCGCAGATGTGATGTGACCTCTGTGTCCAGCACCAGCACGTGTGCTTGCCCAGTTGCACCTCACCATTCTTAATGAAAACTGGCAGAATCAACTTATTTTCAACAAAATCAAAAATTTGAAGGTTGTGACTTATGAACCTCGAACTGTGTATGAAAGTGCTCATAGAACTTTTTCGAGAACTTAATTCAATGCAGAATTATTTTCCTGCAGTCAGGATAATTCGTCGCCTCTAGCAGAGGTTTAAGTAGTGCTTTACCTTGCCCGTGTATTGGGGCGCTTCCTGCCCTCAGCACAGAGGTTTTGCAGTGTTTGCCCTCAGGTTCAGCAGCAGATTTCTTTGTTTTTTAGCGTTAGAATCATAGGGTATGGCCAACAGTGTCTGCATAGAAAACTTTTTAAAAGGAGGATTTTTGTGTTAGAAAATAGGAAGATAATTGGAACTGAAAATTTGACAAATTGCATATTTCTGTTTGCAATATTAAATATTCCGAGGATTAAGTGAGCAAAACCAGTCTTAAAGTTTTTGAGTTCATCATAATGCACAAATTAGCGTAGTATTTCAGTGTCAATTAACTTCTTATTGGTTTACACATAAGATAGAGTTAACTCTATCAGGCAGAAAATCATTTGTGCATCAGAGGCTGCTTCATTTGACAGCCCCAGTGAAATCAGTTTTGGAGATGACAATACCAAAGACTTTTTTTTTTTAATAAGCACTATTGGGTTGGTTTTACAAATGCCCATCTGTAAACATTTCAGGTGAAGTACAGAGCTTTTCACTGTGATCCTGTTTGTGTTACTTTCCCTGGTTTTGGTGCTGTCCTTCAGACAGTGTCCGGTAGCTAGCCACCTGCGGCGCTGCTCTTCATGGTCTCGATGATCTTATTAAAGATTAGTTCCTAGGACCTTAATGCTGCTATGAAATATTGTCATTTAGACAAAAGACTATACCAAAGTTGGTAGGTTGTTCACCAAATATATGTGCTCGTAGGCACGTATATTCAGCGATCCTGTGAAAGTGTGAACTCCTCAGTGCAGTGATTTTTCTAACAATGCTGTTATTCTTCAGGTATTTACTTTTGTAGATACAAAAGCTAAATCTATGGCTATTTGGTGGAAAATAGTTCTCAATAAAACTACAGCTGCAACAAATGTTTGTGACTGTTTTTAAACGTGAGCATACCAGAAGCTAACAACGTTATCCTGTAGGGATTTCAGGTGATACAGGAGAAAGTAAGCACGAGGGATGTTGGAGTCAGTGTTACTGGCGTGATGTTGGGAACACATTTTGAGTCTGACCGAAAGATTTGCTTCTCCCACTTGATAAATGGAAGTAGTTAATCGGTGTGATGAGTTTGTAACTTCTCTGGAAATGAATGGTTTTGCTGTTCAGGGACAGGTGTGTGGTTACACACCCTATGAGTGTGAACTAATAGCCACTTTTAGTGGCTCTGCGTGCACCAAAGCAGCGTGTCAGTGCTGCTGCTGTGCACCTGAGGGTTTGGCAGTTGCCTTTTCAGCTGCTGGAGGAGCTCAGGCATAAACTGAAGAGAGAGGTAGGGGCTGTAAGGGGCAGAAGGCAGCCGGTCGTCTAGGAAAGGACAGGATCGGGTACATCTGGTGGTGTAGGAAGTGGAGGATTTTGCTGCGTTCCCTTCTCGTAAGCACTTTTCCTTTGTAATCGTGGGTCCTGGTGGTCTCCTTGTCATTATTTTCTGAAGTGAGGGGGTTAGACCTGGTGTGCAGAGCAGCTCCTCTCCGTTAGCTGTCCGTCGGGGGCACTGGGGTGGAGTGGAGCAGAGGAAGGAGCGCTTACGTGACCTCTGGTGGCTTGGCTTGATCAGCTTACAGCTTGCTTACCTTGTCTAGACTGCACGGTAATAGGTTTACAGTGATCCTGGGGAATATAAGTGCTTGTGTGGCCTCAATGCTCGAGCAGTTACAAGATCAAACTGGAAACATGTTTAGCATAAGTAGCTCTGTAACAAACCTGAAACTTGCTGATGACTTCAAGTGGGCTCCTTGCCTCTGACCATATCGATGGGGGGGGTGTCAAATCCAAAGGAGAGGATGCAACTGAAAATTATTTCCCTGTAATTTAAGTTTTCCCAGGAAGGGAGCAAATAGAGTTCAATTTTGTAGTTGTTTCCTTGTAAACGGGAAGGTTTGTGGCAGGAGAAGGTCTGTGTGGGCCAGCTGAGTTGTTGGGGTATCAGCAAGAGCTTGCGCAGGGCTCTGGGCATTAATCGTGTTCATGCAGCTCTTTTCGGAGGTTCCCAAGTTTGTGTGTGTAGGATCACTCGAAACCAGCCCTGTAAAATTCTGCCTGGCTGCAGTGAGTAATCCTTCCTGACAGGTGAATGAAATATTCTTGGCTTTCGCTGTCCCTGTCATCATCTGTACCGCAGCCGTGGCCAGGTGAGTGGCAGGTAGGCTTTTCTTTTTCCTTGGGCTAGAAAGTTCGTGACAGCTTTACAAACGTGCTGTTCGAGAGAAAAGCATCTGTGGGACAGAGAGAAGGAGCTGCTGAGCAGCCTGGCGCAGCGAGTGAGGATTGTAAAAGTGTTGGATTTAGTTGGGAGCGTTGTTACACAGCGGTGCAGCGCGTGCGTTTTCTTCCAAGTAGTCAAATGCTAGGACAAAATTCGTATCACTGTTGGAATACTTTTCTTTTTCTTTTGTGTTGAAGTGTCTGTTCCGATGGCTAAAGGTGGTGGAAGCTTGCTCAGGGATGTCTGGATGTCAGGGAGCATCATCCTGGAGTTCTCACTAGTTCTACACGAGCAGGACGTGGAGTTACTTACGGCATTGTTTTATCTGGGTTGAAAATACAAGGCAAAGTAAACCGTAAAAAAAAAATTAAAAAAATAAAAGCCCACAAATTTGGCACTAAAGTAAATAACGCCGAGCACACAGCCCTACTGAGTTCTTTAAAACAGGCTCTCTCTGTTTCTCAGCACACATTTCAACTCCCTGGGCATTATTTGTGGTATGCTAAGAGCATGCAGTGGACTTTCAGCTAGCAGGGTGTTTGTAGGGGATAACCTTTCAAGAAGCATCCAAAAATACTGCAAAGTGCTCGGTTTGTTATAGGTCTGTACAGTAGTTACGGTGTTTCCCTCGTTCCCTTAGCTTTCCTGCACAGACTTTCATTTACAAAACCCCATTAGCATACATGTTGGCGTACTTAAGATGATTAACTAGAATTTGCTTTCATTTTTTTTTTCCCTCCTTGTTATGTAAACAATATATTGCTTTGGGAAATTATGCTGATGAGGACAAAAGTGGGTGAAAATTAACATATTAATGGAAAGCGATAGAATTATTAGAAGGTAGAGATTTAAGGTCACGTCCACGTGGACAGTCAGTTCCAAATTTCTGCTGGGTGGATGTCCTCGGGGGATGGCAGATCCTCTGCTTTCACCTGCTGGATTTTGCACATTGCGCTCTCGTTTTGTTTGGAGGAGGAAATACCAACACAGCTGCTGTGTGCATCCTTCTGACAAATTAGACCCTTGGGCTGTCAGCACTGTGTGCATCCCCCGAGTCTGCTTTCCCCGCGCTTCTAAGGAGATGACAAGAAGAAAAGAACCAACAATGTCAGAATAGCTTCAAAAAAACAAAAAAATCATCGTTTTCTAGCTCAGCAAAATACGATTTGGGGAAAAAAAAATAAAAAGACCATCAAAGCCTGTGCAGTTGGCTCGTAAGGAGGCTTCCAGGGCTCGTGCTGTAATTCAACATGATGCATTTTTTTGTATTCCTGTATCTGCCACAGCAGTAGTACCAGCAGGAGGTGGGGTGATGCTGTGTGTGTGTGTCACAGCTTCCTGTTTGCTCTGGATGAAGCTCAATTTTGCACCTTCACTGAGCATGTGAGGGAGCACTTAATAAGTTAAAAAAAAAAGTAAAAATAAAGCAAAATAAAGCAAAGCGTGCGGCGCTGTCAGGGTGTTGCATCTGGGGTCTCCTGTTCGTGGCTAGCTATTTCTTCCACAAATAAGCGTTGGAATTTTAGATGTTGGTATTTAGGGTGATTGCTTATGGTAAATCAGACTCGTAGCAGGTTGCCAGCCCTCTTCATTTGCTCTTTAACGAGCTTTAGGCAGTGTGTGTCAGGCTGTCGCTAAATGCTTGTGCACTGGCACATTCAGAAGCTGCTGGGATGAAGGCACTCCAAGTTCTCAGCTCTAATAGGACAGTGCAAGTAAGGTTTAGGAAACTGCAGGTGGTGAAGAGGTGAGGATGGTGATTTCCCAGTAAATTAATCTAATAGTGAAATAAGAAGCCAGAAGAACTGACCGCTCGGAGACTAATCCCTCTGTTCTCCTTGCTCTCTTGCAGTCAACGAGTTCACGGTGATCAGGAAGAAATTCAAGTGCCCCTACTGCAGCTTCTCCGCCATGCACCAGTGCATCCTGAAGAGACACATGCGATCCCACACGGGAGAACGACCTTACCCCTGCGAGATCTGCGGGAAGAAATTCACGCGCCGGGAGCACATGAAGCGGCACACCTTGGTAAGGAGGCCCCCGGGGGGGGTGTTGGCTGGCACCGGAGGTGGCTTGTTGAGATTAAAGATAAGAGGAGCTTCGTCTCATCTAGGTTTTGTGTTTTGTTTTCCCCTCTGGGGCTCCTCGGAGCCTCTGAAGACTTCTCTAGTATCTTTTCTCCCCACCTTTCAAAGGCCCAGTGTTTTGCTGCCTGTTCATCCAGAGCTAACCAACAGCTGCTCTCCTAACTCAGCCCGAGGGGTTCCTGAAGAGCAACCCGAAGTAGTCTGCACTTCCCGCTTAGTGCTGCTAGCCCGCAGGTGAGGGATTGAACCGAGCATCTCAAACTCGGCCTCGCTTTCCTAGCGTGACTTTTCTCCTTTCCTCGTGCGCCGCTGCCCGCCGCGGAGAGCCCGTGCGTTAGGGCCTGAAGGTAAAGTAGCTCCTGCTGGCGTCCTCAGGATGAAAAGGGAAATTTCTCCGTGATTCGGTGCAGAAAGGTTCTTAAAATATGTCACTCGGCAAGAAAAATTCAAGCCAATGCTGCCGTAGTCTGGCAGCAATTAATTATCCAAAAAAATTTCAGTGCTTTATTCAGGGCTGCTACTCAGAGCTGTCTAGGAGGCTGTTGGCTTTTCACAACTTCTTCATAAATAAGTTTTTTTTTTGTTTTTCTTTTTTTTTTCTTTACAGGGAACAATTAATTTGCCATGCAAAAACGGTTTGTCAAAGCTTAGCATAAAGGTGATCCTGTGGAAGAGCACGGTTTCAGTGTAATTATCCCAGTAATGCACGCCAGCAAGTTCTGTTGGCCCTCTAATTAGGCTTGCAGAGAAATTTTGATATGTTTTTTAAATACTGGAGACTGTAGCTGTAAGGCTCTCCTACAATGAGAGATTTAAGAAAAAAATCTACGGGATTGACAGTTTCACTGACTCTGAATTAATTTGCGGAAGTCACTTAAACGACTATTTTTCAATTTTTACATTACCTATTGAATTTTTAATGTAAAGAATATCTCACCAGAGGATGTATGCTTAGGCTAATTAGCGTTTTCCTGCTTGGAATTTTCAAAGCCACAAAGAAATGCAGTTGCCCTCATCCCAGTCCTGCAAGCACGTGCATACCCTTGCGTACTTTCTTTTAAAGGCAATTTAATAGTAGTGATGCAGCTCGGTTCAAGTGTAAAAAAAAATAATAATAAATTTTAATTCCTCTCCTGCTCTACAAAGTAGTCCTATGCTCATGAAAATCAGCATATTTTTACATGCTGTGGCAAAGGCACTATAAATGCACTATATCCTTCAGGAGGGAGATTGAGGTGATCCGCAAATTAATTTTAGGTGTTGGATTTTGCTACTGGAATCATTCTGGGTCACTGATTTGGTGCAGTGAGCTCGCAGTTCAAGTTCCTTTATTATACACACAGGGAAATGAAGCCAGATATGAATAAATGTGAATAAATGTATGAGAGGGTATTATAGCTGAATCTCTCTCTCAGACTACTTTTGTGTCAGGAGTTAAGCTAGGTTAGAAAATACCAGCTGGATTACCAAATCTTCATGCCAGGAGAAATTCCTGGAAAAAAAGCACAATGCTGATAATACCAATTTGTTGTCATGTCAAGGAGCCACAGATGACTCTGAGGTATCTTGTAAGAGATAAAGTAAGGAGAAGAGGGCTTCGGTTTGGCTTGGTTTCTTGTTTTGTTGGTGGTGGGGAGGGAGGTGTTGCTGCAAGTAAATGAACCTGAATTTTGTTTGGATTTGGCTTTGAGATATTTCCTTGTGAAAAAAGGCAGTAGGTGGTCCTGTCCTGCCACGCTGTGGTTCACTTCGGGAACCTGGGAGCCTCGCACGGGTTATTTTAAACGAGACCCCAGAAAAATGCCAGTTTTGGCATTCAGCTGCAGCTCCTTTTGAAATGAAGCTATGAAAAGGGGTGTTTTGTTATCCCCAAGTGACGCTGCGATCTCGGTTTGCAACAGAGGCAGTGCAGGCTTTGTGAAGTGCTCGTGGCGAGATTAACTTCTGGATCTGTGCGCGTTGCTTCTCTGGTAATCTCGTTTCCGTTATGCATAACATTTTAAGGCTTAATTGTCAATCTCGGGCAAATCTGCAGAGATGAGTGCTGATACGCATCAAGTGAAAATACGTTACAAAAATAACACGTAGAAAAAGGAAATGGGTTTATCACCAAAAAAAAATATATCTTTTTTTCTCTCTCAGTTCCTCAATTGAGAGCCAAAGACAAGAGGGGACTATTTTAGTTTTATGTTTAGCTCAGATTAAAAAGAATATATTTTTTTTAGTCTTTACATAAATTTAAATTAAATATAAATGCCTTTTTTTTAAAATCGGGATGTTGAAGTAAATTCAGGACTTCTGAGATGCAAAGACTTCAGGCCAAATGATCCTTCTGTGTGGTTTTTGAGCACAAACTGAGGTTTCTGGACCCGTTGCAGTGAACAGGTTGTGCCCAAAAGGAAGTCTGTCCCCTCCTGTGATTATCTGCAGGGTTTTCAGCTAAAATCCATCCAGTTCTAGTTCGAAGTGACTTGTCTCCGTGTGTACAGGACTTTGTAACCTGCTCTGCTGCAGCATCCCACGGGACTGCTGACTGCTCAGAGCAGTGAACCTGGTTATTTTGGCAGGGATTTCATGGCACACCCAGCCAGCTTTGTCCCTGATGCTGTCCCAGAGGCACGTGCCTGATCCTGGGCAGGGCTGTCCCTCGCTCAGCTTGTGGCCAGGAGTAATTTTCAGAAATTCAGGATATTGTCAGCACGTTTATTTTTCCCCTGTCCAAAGGAATAGTCGTATCCAGTTAGAATGTGTTTTTCCTAATGACACTTTAAAATACCCAGTGCCAAATGCTGTTTTTGTGTTTAATACTTAATAATTCAGTGCTACAGTAAGCAGGCTACTTTCTGATCAGCACCCAGAGCTATCCCTCACTTTGAACACGGTGACTTTACTGTCAGCACTGGGAAAGAGGGAGGGAGATGCTCGGGTTTTTAACAGATGTTTCAATTACGTTAAAATTTATGTTTCAGCGTAATTGAAATGTATGCTTCCAATTATGTCGAAATTTATCTTTCGATTTCAAGATGTTTCAATTACGTAGTGTCTGTTTTGTATGTTTTTATCCGGCTCTTCTAGCCCCAATTCTGCCCCGTTTTCTGCCTTCTGCAGCAGCGCTCAGCTTCTGGCTCCTGGAAACCACCCTGCCCTCAGTTCAAAACGAGTGATCTGCACTGAGCTTGTTCAATGGCTTTGACCAGCTGCTTTTGAAAAAGCTTACACGTAGGTTAAAAAAAATAAAAAATACAATGACTTTGCTTGATACGGTTGAAGAATGAGACGCGGAGACCAGCTCAGAGCGAGGAAAGCCTGAGGTGGGAGAGCATCAGAGGAGCGCTGAGGCTTTGAGCACAGCCGGGGCTGGGGAAACACAAAGGTTGAGCGAGTGCTCGGCAGCAGTAGGTGCTGGGGGGTAAAATCACTCAATTTGTCCTCTTTCCGAATATCTGCAGCTCAGCTGGGTGTGCCGTGTGAAGAGCGAGCGCGGGGTTATGTGGAAGCCGGCGGTGAGAGCAGATTATCCTGTACGTGGGGCAGGAGCCAGGAGCTGGCCTCGCTGTCGATTCCCACATGCTCAGAGCAGAGCTGTGCCTGTTTTCGGCTCATCAGCTGCATTTTGCTGAAACAGCCTCCTGCTGAGCCGGGGTCCAGGCAGCCTCGCGCTGAGGGCAAGTGACAGAGAATAAGGCAGCGGAGCCATCGATGTGCAGGCTGTTAAAATCCTACCAGGCAGCTGATTTAAAATAAAAGGAATCTTTTTTTTTTTCTTTTTTTTTTTTTTGAGGCACGTTTAACCGGCGAAACCTTTCGCAGAGGCAATTGTGAAGATAAAAAGAATAAATGAGTTGAAAAAAGGATTAGACACAGGCGATCCGTGCCCAGAGGCTCCGATAGCTGCTGGTCTGCACGGAGCAGCTTGCTCGGGATGACCCTAAATCATGGGCTGCAGGAACTTAGGACAAGATGGATCGTTCCCTATTTTTATGCTGTTCCTGTGCTGCTGGGCACTGCCAGTGGGAGGGCGCTGGAAAGGTGAACTTTTGGGCTGTCCCAGCGTGGTGTCCCTAAATGAAGCTTCACCCTGCTCTGGGAGCATCCACAAGGGCTTGCTACCTGGCCCCTGCTCCCTGCTTTTATTTTTATATATTATATTTATGCGTGTGTATGTCTAATACATATATACACCTACATACATGTATATACTACATATATAGAGCTTGTGTCTGTGTGTACATATATGAAATTCTGGCATTCTCGCTGTACCATTCCCTCTAAGAGAGGTGCAGGTGAATATTTGGGGCCAATTTCTTGGCTTCCAACAAGGCAAAAGCAGCCAGAGACAGAGCTCACCTTTAATCAGGCGTTCCCGTGCTCCTCAAAGTAGGCAGTTCTGCTCGTTGTGTAGTTTTGTTTGGATCTTTAAGCGATTCCTCCTACCCCACACAGCATTTTGCAGCTTACAGCTTCCCCTGGCAGTGTGATGGCTCCATATGCCTGCAGTCCTCGGAGGTAAAATACAGCACGCCTGGGAGAGCAGACGTTTGTGACGAACCACTTTTCAGCCAGCAAAGTAGTTCAGAGGCAGGCTTAGGAGTGGATTCGGCTGCTTTTTTGGGATGCGGGATGCACACTCACAGTGCTCCTGCTCCCTGCTTCTTGGCAGCAGCGGGCTCGGGACAGAGACACCATTAAATTAACACGACATTAACACCAGTCTGATCGTAACACCAGTCTGATCGTGCATTGCTCTGCAGAGAACTGATGCTTGGGGTGATGTTGGGTTTGATTATTTTTTTTTTAAGATTTTCCTCGTGTTGTAGCAGCTGAATTTGCATCCACGCGGTGTTGGTCCACGCATCCCGTGCTTTGCTGGGCACGGTGCAGCTCCCCCTTGTTACGATCCCTGGGTGTAGCTTCACAGCCCTGTGGGTGAGAATTTCACAGAGGGAACTACTGCCTCTGGCAGGCCGGCAGAAAACCTCACGTTTCAGTCTGATCGGTGAAACTTTCCGGCGTGTTTCCTGGCAGCTTGGAACTCTTGTCTCATCGAGGTTATTTTAAGTTAGTTTGCCAAAACTCTACCAACTTGGTAAAGTGGTTGCGCCCCAGGTTTGAAAAGAAGAAAAAAAAGGAAAAAAAGAAAACCGGAGGGATTGGGAGTTCCTCTCAAAACTGCTGGTTTGATCAAAAGGCCTCCTCGGAAGGGTTTCCTGCTGTATCAAAGTATTGGAGTTGAGTTAATTGTGATGGGCTGAAGTGCAGCGATGAAGGTCCGCGGGGATCTTGGTTCTTGGCGTTGTGCCTCGCAGAGACGGAGCGTGCCTGTCCTTAAAACCCTCGCTCCGTCCTCATTGGCATTACATTTTCTGATCGTTCTCCTTTCCTAGGTCCACAGCAAGGACAAAAAATACGTCTGCAAAGTGTGCAACCGGGTCTTCATGTCTGCAGCCAGCGTGGGGATCAAGCACGGCTCTCGCCGCCACGGGGTTTGCGCCGATTGCTCGGGACGGGGCATCGCGGGGCATCACCTGGACCACAACGGTGGAGAAGGCTCCCCGGACGAGCTGTACCCCGGCGAGGGGCAGTACATGGAAGACCCAGACGACATCAAAGTGGAGGGAGACGAGGAGATGGGAGACGACGACGACATCAAGTGGAAAGACGACGTAGGCATGGCGCAAGACGACGTGATTTTAGATGACGACAAAGACGTCGACTCTCCGCAGGAGCAGGAGAACTCTGGGGAGAACGACAAGGATTTTACCTGGATTTCTTAGGGATTTTATTATTATTATTATTATATATTTTTTTTCATTTCGTTCTGTTGTTTGTAGGGGGCGGGAGGGCGGGGGAGGAAAGGAGTATGTTGGAAAAAACTAAGTAGCCTTGTTGTCGTCCATGTGTGCAAAATACTTTCTGTGTTTTCTAAACGAGCCCTTCTCTGTTCCACTCAGATACTGTCTGAGCCGTGTCGCTTCCAGGGACACGACCGAATTCACCTTCCCCCTTCTCCCTTCAGGAAGAAACCCGACCCAGAGCGAGCCGGGCTCCTGCGAGTGACTTACGGTGTCCGCGGGGAGGAACGGGCGACTCGCAGGCTGCGTAAAGCTTCTTCCCCCTGTACCTCTCCCTCCCCGAGCCCAACACCGGGGAGATCTTGTATCCGAAGCAGGTTTTTTTTTTGGTGGTGGTTGTTTAATTTTTTAACACCTTTTCTGCGTGACGAAATCCCTGCGGTGCTGGAATGGCGAACTAACGTGGAACCAAATCGCTGGGCGTGTTTTTGAGGGCTTTCCCTAACGATGCGGGCCTTTTTTTTTTTTTTTTTTTTGCAAAGTTGTGTAAAGAGTTTTTATTGTTTTTTTTTTTTTTTTTTTTACGGAGCCAAATAGATCAAAAGGCAAGTCAGATTTTGCAGCCTTACGAGTTCTCGTCATACAAGTAGATTCGTAGCTTCCAAAACAGAATCACCATCAGAAAAGATCATGGCATTTTCTTGGACCCACTGGCACCTTACCCGTGTCCCGTCTTCCAGCCTTGCTGACCGCATTCCCCCAAACGAGTGCTGGTGTTTCCACAGAACTCTTTTTTCCTATAAAGGCCACGGGTAATTGTCTCCCTGTCATCGTCTCCCACGGATATTTCCACTTTTCTCCCTTTGCTCAGCTGCCTTTTTCATAAATATATGCAAACTGTAGTTTAAAAAAAAAAAACAAAAAACACAAAACCGAGGCATTTAGCAAAGTGCAGGACGGACTGTGAAATATTGGAAGCCAAGGTGAGGAAATCCTAGGGCAGGGGAAATCCTGCTGCTCCTGCGGGGCCGGGGTTGCTCCTGGGTGCGTTGCTTTTCCTTGCCAAGCTGCAAACTTGGATTCATCCTTGGTAGGGATCAAATTCACGAAGGAAACCTTCAGTTTCAGCTGCACTGGTTTGATGTAAATTTGCAAATAGATGCAAATTTGATGTAAATTTGCAAATTTTTTTTTAAAAACGAGAACCAGGTTTCTCTCCTAGCACGTCTCCTAAAAAAGGTTTTGTGGGTCTGCTCCAGGTAGTTGGATTCTCCTTGTCCATATCGGCCACTGTTGCCTTCTTCCAACTACACGGAAACGACGACAAAGTGCATTGGAAGTGTCTTGTTCCTGCGAGAAAGCTTGTTTGACCTTTCACCTCTTTGCTTCTGGTGCTTTTTTTAACAAAAAAAAAGAAAAGAAAAAAAAAAAAAAGCTGAAGACCTCACTGTTTCCTTGCCGTGGAGCAATTTTATACAATGTCTGTGATGACGGGATCTTGAAACCTGCCACAAAAGACAAACCTGTTGCCAGAAAGCCAAATGACTAAAAGGTGCTATTTTATTTTATATTTTTTTTTCCAGTGGTGGGAAAGGCGATCTCTGTGGGGAGGGAAGGAGCTGTCGCAGGTGGTGTTTCCTTAATGAAATGGTTCCCCCCAGCCAAGAAAACAAGAGTTTATTGTCCAATAAACCCCAGGAAAGCAAAGGATCTTTCAGGATTTGAGCTGCTGAGCACCAGGGCTTGTTTTTGGGGAGCGTGGCCAGGCGGGATCCTTGCTCCTGGCCCTGCAGGAGCTGCTTCTCCCTCGTCCCCATGGCACGAGCCACATCCAGGGGTCGTGGGTTTTATTTTTGAGTCCCTTTCTCTGCAGCCGTCTCCGGTTCCCCGCAGAAGCTCTCCTCCTTCTCTCTGCCTTTTTTTCCCCCCTTTGAGCCTCCAGCACCTCCTGGCTGCCGGCTTTGGGTGCTCGGTGGCTCCTTTCTCCCCGAGCCACCTCCTGGCCCCAGGTCCAGCATCGGGCTCGGGGGGGGGGGATCCCCATCGCTGCTGCTGCTGTAATCCTTAGGATCGGGGGGGCGAAGCGGACCCTGTCGCTTTGAGCCGGGACGGGCAGCCCTCTGCAACCCTCTCCTGGAAATATTTAAAGCCTAAAGTGCTGGGGGGGCGTCGAAAGTGTTTTTATTGACCTTGTACAAACCTGGTTTTTTGCATTTTAGCTTCTTGTCAAGCCCCCGTTGCTGTATTTAAAAGACGTGAACAGAACCGGTATTTTACGATTGGATTTTATGATTTTGTATGCTTTTATTTTTATTTTTTTTTCCCTAAATACAAAACCAATCAGCGGTTGGCTGTTGGGGGGGGGGTCCCGGGGGCGTTGCCTTGCACGGGCTCTGTATTTATTGTACCTGTAAATGTGGAGGGGTGGGCTGGGGGCGGCCGACGGCCTCGCAGCCCTCACTTGTTACGTGTAGACAAATACATACAGTACTTCAAAGATACCTGTAGCTTTGCTTTTTATACCTGAGAGCTCTTTTCTTTTATTTTTTTAACCCAAACCCTTCAACCCCCGTTGTTTCTGTCACATTCCATCTTGCTCATCTCTTCCGATTCCAGAGTAAGAATTTCGCTCCCCTGCCCCTGGGGGGGAGCCACGAGCACTCCCCCCGGGTTTTCCTTCTCCTCCCTCTCCCTGGCACTTCGGTGGCTCCATCTCCGTGATCACTTACGGGGTGCGGAGCTTGACTTCGCTTGGCATTGGGAAATATTTCCTTTTTTTTTTTTTTTCCCCTTTCCTTTCCATTTTTTTTCCCCTTCCTTTCCATTTTTTATTTTTTAACGGCGGACAGTAAGCCACGCGGCTTGCCGAAACCTTTCCTAGTAGTGCCACTTTTGAAGCTCTTTGAGCTGAGAATGCAAAAAAATAATAAAAAACAGAAAAAAAAAAAAAGGAAAATCCACAGAAAAGCTAACTTGTTATAATGTTACCATTATAATATAGCACATGCTTCTATATTACTAACATACACTATATATACCAAATAAAAGCGTTCTAATATGTGATGTATATTTTTTAAGTGCTTTGTTTCGCTGGAGGTGTGCAGACGTGGAAACGCAGGTCCTGGAGAACTGCTCCTGACTCTTCCGTGCTCCGGAGGGCTCTTCTTGAGGCTCGGTAGTTAAAAAAAAGGGCACTTGGGTTTTTTTTTAATGCTGAAACTTTATACGATGCCACCGGTTGCTGCCAGCAGCCGGTGCCGGGGGGCTTGGGATTTTGGGGGGGTGATGGGGGGATGACGGCTGCAGCCCCCAGCCCCGTGGGGCCGTGCTCTGTGCCCGGACACTGCCTATGCAAACTCGGTGCAAAACGCTCGCCCTGCCCGTCCTGCCCACCTAGGGTGGCCTCCGGGCTTCCTTTTTTTTTAATTTTTTAATTTTTCCCTTTTTTTAAAATTTTTTTCTAACTGTATAGATGTCTGTGTGTGTCCATGTGTGTATATCCAGCACGATATGCGCACATCCAGGTCTAGTTTCCAGAAATAGCTCCCTTAGAGATGAAAAATCAATCCACGTAGTCCGCTGACGATTTTTTTTTAAGTATTCATACCTGTAAACGTTGCTCCCTGAATTTCTTTATATTATTATTTTTTATAAAAGCGTGCCAGGAATTGGAAAAGGATTTCAAAAAGTGCTTTGAGAGCTTCTTGTGCAGGACAGCAGCCGGGGTGTGAAAGCATCCGTGCGCTGTCCTCGCCTTAAGGCAAATTCCCTTCTTGGCATCTCCCATCAATTTATTTCATAAAAAAAAATCCTCAAAAAAAAATCATAAATCGTCTGTTTTTGCATAGGTTTGTCCCTTGTGGACGCGTTAAGGTCACCCTCAGACCTCACAGCTCGGGGACGGTTCGGTGGGGAGGTGACAAGGGGGGGGTGGCTAAGGAAGGATCCCAAAGTGACCGTTTCTTTTGTGTTTTTTTAACCAAAAATCAGTGTTTTGGACTACAAAAGGAATATTTTTCGTACGAAGGGAAGCCCGCTCTAGCGTTAGGTCCCGTTTTTTTCTTTTGTACCTCGACGTATGCCTTTAACTCTCTGCTTTTCCAAAGCGAAAGCTGCATCGGTTTGGCGTTTTGTACGGATGGGGGGGGAATTCAAAGGACTTCTGGCAGCCCCTGCAGCCCCTCTCCCCCCACCGCTTCCCGTTTTGCACATCGCCCTTTAGGAAAGAAACTCCATGAAAAAAAAAAAAGAAAAAAAAAATGCAAAAACTGGAATTTTTTGCAATATCCTGAAAGATAAATCTTCTTTTAGCTCATTCTGTGACATGTGCGACTCCTAAGAAAGCCATACTTAATGGTTCTTTTTATTCTTAGTTCCTATAATTTTGAATTTCTGCCTTTTTGTTTTTTTTTTTTTAGTCCTGCATAGTAAGAGTGCTGTGTGTATGCTTTCATATATATTTATTTTTCAACGTGCTTTAAACCTGTCTGCAAAAAAGCTAAACAAACAAAACAAAAAAAAAAATGGACAGCGTTTGAAGATTGTCGATTATTTTTTTTTGCTGGGAATATTCTATATTATACTGACTTTATATTAATTATTATAAAACCTGTGTTTGTATTGAAGATGTGTTTAATATTTCGGGGGAGGCGAGGAGATTTTCGGACCCAGAAGGCAGGGGGAGAAGATGGCTGTGTTGTACTGATTTCCTGTAAATGTAGTTCAGGTCACTATGCCCTTATTTTCTAGTTGATCTCACAGTTTCTTGTCTGCCTGGGCACGCCGGAGGTGGTGCCTCTTGATGATAATTACTTTGTGATGGGATTTAGCTTAGACATACTTGCAAAAATCAATCAGTTTCAATAAATTGGGAAATTGCTGCTAAATTTTCGGTCTGGCTCATTTTCTATCTTTTTTTCTTTCATTTTTTAACCCTCCCTCCTGCCCCCAGCTGTGCCGTCAGGGTGCTGCTGCCTTTCCCACCCCAGGCCCCTACAAACCCCTGTGGCTCAGCCCCCTCCCAGCACCAATTTCTTCACTTTTGGGGCTTTTATTGAAATGAAAACGCTGCCTCAGGCCCCGCTCCTGGTTCTCAGGAGGCCAGGGACAGATCTGTGCAGCCCCCCTGGTGCTGGGGATGCTTGCAGGATTGGGGCGAGGGCTGCACCAAGACCCCCTCCTCACCCCCCCCCTTATATCACTTTGCGACAGCAGAAGCCCAAAAAAAGCAGGTAAATGAAAACATTAAAAAAGAATAATAATAAAAAAAAAGAATCCAAATCTTTTTTTATTTTTTTCTGGATCTGACACATCCCAGCTCGGCGCCGCAGCCGGACACTGAGCGAGGGCTGAGCCTGGCACGGGCCCGTCCCAGCCCACGGGGCCAAAGCAGCCGGACCCCCTGCTGGGGGGGGGCACCCTGCAATGGGGACCCCCCCTACAAACAAGGGGGAGCAGCCCTGGAGCAGGACGGGATGGGGGAAAAGAGGGGTGAAGGCCATAAAGCCCTGTACAGCCCCGGGGGCAGGACCCGGGGAGGGAGTAGTTTAAAAAATAGGACTTTTTATATATTTTATTTAAAAAATAAAAACACACAAAGGAGAAAAAAAAACAAAAAAAAAAAGAAAAAAAAAAAAAAAAGAAACGTCTTTGTGCAGTTTGGCTTAGTGCAAATGGGCGCGTTCCTGCAGGCACTTCCCGGAGCACGGCCCCCGGCGGGAGCGGCTGCTCCCCAGTTACAAAAAAAATCGAGAGAAAATACGATACAAAGAGTAAAAACCCCCCGGGGGGGGGGCACCCACATCCACCTCGGGCACCCCAGGGTGCCCAGCCTGCCCCAGCTCAGGGACACGCGGGTGGGGGGCAGGAACAGGCACCCCGGTGAGGCCCCCCCCCGGCCCCAGGCACAGCTTATTTGAGCAGCGGGCAGCCCCCTGCCCTAAAGGGGGGGGGCTCCACGGGACCCCAACCCCATATGGGGGTGGGAGAAGCTGGCTGCCCCCCCCAGCCAGCCCCCACCGCTGTGCCAGCAAAGGGGGGGGGGGGGACAGAGAAAGATTTAGCTTATTTTCAAAGGAAAAAAGAGGGAAAAGCTCTGTGGTGGTGATGGGGGCGGGGGGGCTGTGTGCATAAAGCTTTTTTTTTTTTTTGGGGTGGGGGGAGCGCTGGCGGGTCAGGGTCAGGCCCTGGTGCACATGGCCCCCCCCATGCCCCATGGGCCCCCCCCATGGCCGCGGCAGCGCGGGGCCGTTCCCTGAGTCCGGCGGGGGGCCCCGGGGTTTGAGGGAGGGGGGGAGACAAAAAAGGGGGGGGGGCGCAAAGGCACCTCAAGTGCAAAATGTGCAAGAAGAAAAGGGGGGGGGGACAGGTAAAAAGAGGGGGGGGGCTCAGTCGAGGAAGCGCTGGCAGGCCTTCTTCCAGCGGCAGGCCGTGCACCACATCTCGCGGTTCTCCATGCCGTACACCTTGCGGCACTTCTTGGCCTCCCCCCGCGGCTTCCTGAGGGAAAAAGAACGAGGGGGGGGGTCACGAAGATGTCCGTGGGGTGGGGTGTGGTGGGATGGGTGACAGGGGGGGGGTCCATGATGGCGGCACCGACTCACCTGGGGACAGCGGGCGGCTTGGGCAGCAGTGGGGTGGGCACCGCCGGCGTCAGCCCCACCGGGGTGGGGGGCACCGGAGGCCGCTTGTCCCCCCCCGGGAGCCGCGGGGGGGCCGGGCAGCCCTGTGGGGAGATAACGGGGGCACCCCCTAAGTTGAAAAGAGCACCCATGGGTGCAGCAGGGTGGGCACGGGGCTAGGCCTCACCTGGTACGCGTGGTCGGTGTGGACGTGGCACAGGCCGCCGGGGGGGGTGGGCACCGGGGGGCTTACGGGGGGGGGGCAGCGGTAATTCGGGGCTGGGCAGCGCCTCAGTGCCCGGGAAGGATGGGGGGGACGGAGGAGGTGGGAGAAACGGGGGTGAGGCTGGAGAGCCCGTCCGTCAGCGAGTCCACGTCCACGTCCAGCTCCGTGTAGTAGAAGTCCTCCTCGCCGTCGCTCTGCTCGAGGTCGGCTTTGCGGCTGGGGGGACGGCGGGGGGGGGGATTAACACCCCCAAAAAAAAATAAAAATAAAGGGGTTGGGGGCTGTGGGGTGAGGGGAGCCCCCGCGCTTACCCAAGGTGCACGGTTCGGATGTGCTTCTGCATCCCTGAGGAGCTGCTGAGGACTTTGCCGCAGCTCTTCCACAAGCACTTGAACATCACCTTGGTGGAGGGCTGCGGGGAACAAGGGGCAGCCCCCACCCCAAATTCAGCCCCACCGTCGTTCCCATCCCCACCGCCACCCCGAATTTCATCCCACCACCCTCTCCAGCCCCAAACTCACCGCTATCCCCAACCCTAAGCCCACCACCTCCAACCCCAAGCCCCCCAAATTCTCCAGCCCCAAGCCCACCACCGTCCCCAGCCCCAATCCCAAAACCAGCCCCACCATCATTCCCATCCCCACCGCCACCCCAAATTTCATCCCACCACCCTCTCCCGCCCCAAACTCACCGCCATCCCCAACCCCAAGGCCACCACCTCCAACCCCAAGCCCCCCAAATTCTCCAGCCCCATCCCTGCCCCCATCCCCGTCCCAATCCCAATCCCAATCCCAATCCCAATCCCAATCCCACCTTCCTCTTCCGCGGGATGGGCTCCCCGAAAACGAAGTGGGTGCCGTCGGGCTCGTCGGGGCCCTCGTCCGGCGGCGGGGCGGGCAGGAAGGCACCGGGAACGTGGCCGGAGAGTGGGGGCGAGGGGGTGGAGGGGGTGGAGCGGTCGCTGGGGGGGTCCCAACTCCAGTCCCCGCTGGTGTTGCTGCTGCTGCTGCAGCTGGAGGACATGGGGGGCGCCTCCAGCCAGGGCTCGCCACCGGGATCTGCCCCAAAAGATGAGGAAGAGGAGGGTGAGGAGCCACCACGCCCAGGGATATTTAGGGGGGGGGGACGGGGGCCCCAAAATTTCTGCTCTTACCTGGGGCGGGGGGTGCCGGGGGGTGGCCCAGCACCAGGGGGCTGGTGGAGAGGCTGGTGAGCACCGCCGCTGCCATCACCTCGTCGATGCCCGCCTTGCCCAGGGGCTTTCTGCCAACGAGAGCAAACGGGGGCTGCAATCAGCACGGTTGGGCCCCCCCTCATTTCTCCCTGTACCCCCCCATCTCCCACCCGGGGTATCGGGGTGAGCCCACCCCCTCCCCTTAAGCCGAGGTGGCACCTGCATCCTGCTGAGTAAACGTGGGTTTAGCTCAGCCGGGGCCGAACGATTTCCTGAAGTGGAAAAAAAAAAATTAAAAAAAAAAATAGAAAAATTAGAAAAAAATAATAAAAAAATAAAATAAAATAAAAAAAAAACAAACCGCGAGCGGGAGGTCAGGAGCCCGCAGGAGCCATTTTGCAACCGCGTCCCAAAGCTGCGGCCCCGCAGGAAGGAGCGGGACGGCCCCGGGTGGGTTGGGGGGGGGCTGAATTTTGGGTGGGGGGGGGCTCCTGGATGGACACCCGGACGGACACCCGGACGGACACAGCGCCCTGCCGTGCCCCCAGCTCCCGCGAAAACCGAATCGGCGCGCGCTGAGCCAGCCCAGATTTTTATTTATTTTATTTTTTTTTCCCCTTTTCCCTCAAATTCGCGCCCGAGAGCGGGACCTGGGGGGGGGGGAGCCCCGGTGCCAAGAAGCTGCCCCCCCCACCGGCTCCGCTTTCAACCCTGGGCACGGGGCCACCGCTGGAGCTCCGGGACCCCCATGGCAGGGCAGGGAACCCCCCCCCGGGGGGGTGGGGGGTCCATGGGAGTGTGGTGCCCCCCCATCATGTTCCTACCTGGGGGGGGGAAAGGGGATGCAGGCGGCGTGCAGCGCCAGGCACCGCTCCAGCCCCGCGTCCAGCACCCGCAGCATCGCCTCCTGCTCGGGGGGGGCCAGCCCCAGGGGCTCCCCCAGGCGCCGCAGCCAGCCCCGAGCCCCCCCCCGGCGGGGCAGCGGACCCTATGGGGAGATAAAAGGGGGGGGGGACGTTAGGTATATGGGGAGGGGGGGGGTGGATTCTGGGTTGATCCCTGCGGGGAGATGATCCCTATTGGGGGGGGGTTAAGGAGGGGTATGGGGGGGGGGTAAGGGGCTGGTATGGGGGGGATAAGGGGGTATGGGGGGGTGAGGGGGGTGGGGGGGGGATAAGGGAGTATGGGGGGGATTTTGGGGTTTGGGGGGGTGGGGGGGGCAGTGCTGTGCTTGGGGGGTGCGGGATCCCGCTGGTCCCCCCCGAGTGGATCCCAAATAGATCCCAAATAAATCCCAAATAGCCCCCCCCCCGTATAACTGGGATTTATTGGGGACCCCCCCCGAGCCCTACAACATCCCCAGCCCCCCCCCCCAAAAAAAAACACCACGGGGCTGCTCCCCCCGCCCCCCCGTCCCCCTCCCTCCCCTCCTCCCCCCGGTGGATCCCAATGGGAATAGGGGGGGGGGGACACCGGGGGTGGGGGGGGGGACACCGGGTGGGGGGGGGGGGGGGCGTGTCCGCCGGGCCGGCCGCCAGCGGCTCCCTCCCGGGGGGGCGGGGCCCAGCGGCAGCGCGCGCTTCCCGGGGGCGGCACCGGCGAGAGCGGGACAGGGCGGGGGGGGGGGGCACCGGGAGGGTCCCAGCGGTTACCGGAGGGTCCCCGGGGAGGGGGAGGGGGATGCAGGGGGGGGGTACCGGGGAGGGGGGGTCCGCTCCCCCCCCCCCCCCTCCCCTCCCACCACCCCCCCCCCGGCGCCATCTTAGCGGCGGGGAAAGTTTGGGGAGGGCGCGGCGGGGCCGCTGTCAGCACCGGCACCGGGCACGGCCCCCCCCAAACCCCCCCTTACCCCCCCCCACCGCCACCGGCACCGCCGCTCCCGGTACCTGCGGGGCCCCGTCGGGCTCGGGAGGGGGGAGGCGGCGGCGAGCGCGGCGGCGGCGGGCGGCGGAGGAGGAGGAGGAGGCGGCGCTGGGAGGCGGCAGCAGCAGGGAGCAGGCGGCGGGGGGGGGGCGGGGGGGGCGCTGCGGCTCCATGCGGGGCGGCCGCGGCCGGGGGGCCCGGCGGGGAGCGCTCCGCCGCGCGGCCCGGTACCGGCGGAGGCCACGCCCCCCCCCGGCCCCGCCGCCTCTCGCCATTGGCTACGACGCACCGGGATGGAACGCGGCCGCCGCCTCCTCGGCTTCTGATTGGCTGAGGCGCGCTGCCACTTGGCCCCCCCCTCTTTCCCCCAGCCACGCCCCTCAGCCCCGGCCCCGCCGCCGCCATCTTCTCGCCGCCCCGCCCCGGCCCCGCCGCCGCCGCCGCCACCCCGCCCCCGTGCCCCGAAAGTTGAAGGAATGGCCCCAAAAGTACCGCTCCCCCCCCCACACACCTCAAATAAAGCGTTTCCCACACACACACACCGAGCTACACCCAAATTGTGCCGTCCCCAAAGCACGGAGCGATCCCAAGGGGTTGCCGCCCCCTCCCGCGCAAAGTGTCCCGTAACGTGAAGTGGTCCCCAAAAAGTTGTGCCCCCCCCCCCAAAAAAATAATAAAGCTTCTGCAAACTCTGAGGGAAGCCTGCAGAGCCTCCCTAAAGGCCAAAGGGGGCCCAAGAGTTGTAGCCCGCCACCCAAAGTCGGGGGGCTCCCCATAAGCTATAGTGTTCCCCCAAAATTTATGCCCCCCCCAAAAAAATTATGGGGTTTCCACGAAGTTAACCCCCCCCCAGACCCCTAAAAAAGTCCCTTCATAGCCTTAGGGCTCCCCCGTTAGCTATAGGGTCCCCCATAATTTATAGGGCTCCCCCTGAAGCTGTGCCACCCCACACGGTGTTTGACCAAATTTATGGGACCCCCCCCCCAAATTACTCACCCCACAGTTACAGGGGATCCCCCAAATTTGTGGGGTTCCCCAATATCGTGGTAGTCCCCTCAGAAAATATATAAGGTCCCCCAAAATTATGGGGGTGCCCCACCGGCTGCTGGGCTCCCCTGGGAGTTACGGTGCCCCCCCTTTGGGGCAGACCCCACCAAAAAGCCCCTGGCCCCACAGGGTCCTGGGGTACCCCAAAACCCACGGGGCCGCGGGCAGGTGCCGCTGTGGGGCTGTTTGATTTTCCACCCCACAGCCTGAAGGCCGGGACAGAGTCTGTGCGGTCACCCCCGGGTGGCCCCCGCCTGTCCCTCCCCCCAAATTCCTTATCTGTCCCCCCCCCCCCAGTAGCCCCCAGTCCCCAGCCCCACTATCCCCTTGCACCCACGGGACCCCACACCACAGATGGGGGCTGAGGAGCACCCGGGGGGGGCTCGGGGCATCCCCAGCCTGCGGGACCAGCCCGACCCCACAGCCCTCGTTAGCACTCGGGAGTTAACGACCAAGCACCCTGGGTTATGAGTTATTAGGGTTTATGAGTTATTAGGGTTTATGGCAGTGGGAGCGGGGTGGGGGCTCCCACCGGCCACCCCCCCGGCCTGGTTTAATGGTTAACGCCGCTGACCCCAAATGGCACAACGCCCGGCGGCACCGCGGGCACCGCTCCTGGCACACCGGGCTCGGCCCCCTCCGCACGCCCCGGCACCCCCCTGCCATGGGGTGTGCGGCTGTGGGGGATATGGGGGTGTATGGGGGTATATGGGGTGTGGGGGTGTATGGGATGTAGGGTGTATGGGGTGTATGGGGGTGTATTGGATATGGGGGTGTATGGACACAGGGTATATGGGATGTGGGGGTGTATGGACACAGGGTATATGGGATGTGGGGGTGTATGGGATGTGGGGTGTATGGGGTATGGGGGTGTATTGGATGTGGGGGGGTGTATGGACACAGGGTGTATGGGATGTGGGGTGTATGGGGTATGAGGGTGTATGGGATATCGGGATGTATGGGCACAGACTGTATGAGATATGGGGCTCTATGGGATATGGGGCTCTATGGGAAATAGGGCTGTATGGACTATGGGGCTGTATGGGAAACAGGGCTGTATAGGATATGGGGCTGTATGGGCACAGGGTGTATGGGAAATGGGGCTGTATGGGCACAGGCTGTATTGGCTATGGGGCTGTATGGGATATGGGGATGTATGAGATATGGGGCTATATAGGATATGGGGCTGTATGGGTGCAAACTGTATGGGATATAGGGTTGTATGGGAGTGGGCTAAATGGGGTTTGGAGCCCTACAGGCTGCGGTGCTGTATATAGGGTACGGAGCCACTCAGTGGGCACAGCTCTGGGTGTGGGACTGTTGTGGGTGCAGAGCCCTGGGGCTGCCTGCACCGTACGGTGTGTGAAGCCATACGGGCTGCATGGGGTGGGGAGGTGCACGGCGTGCCGGGCCATATAGTGTGCAGTACGGTGTGCAGCACCTCAAAATGTGCACCCTGTGCAGCAAAGCGTGCAGCGCAGCGCAGCGTGCAGCACCCTACAGCGTGCAGCACCCTACAAGATGAAGCACAGCACCCTACAGCGTGCAGGGCAGCGTGCAGCACCCTACAGCACGCAGCACCCTACAGCCTGCAGCTCAGCACCCTACTCCAGCACCGTTCCTACTTGCAACCTGCTTGCAGCTCCCTACAGCTCGCTGGGCTCCTGCTCGCTCCCCCTTGTGGGAACAGCACCGCCCAGCACCGTCCCCTTGCAGCGGGATGGGGACCCCAAGCCCAGTGTGGGGTCCCACAGAGGGGCAGGAGCCTGTAGGGCCTGGCTGTGCCCGGGCAGGGAGGGTGCTCGGTGCTGCCAGCCCTGCCCGATCCCCCTGACACCACGCTGGGGACCCCATCTGTCAGACCCCAAGGTGATGTTTTAGGATTCCTCATTTGCCACCCCGTTTTGTGGGGCCCAATTCCATTGCCCCGAGGACTGGGAAATGCTCTCGCATTTCACTGGGAGCACGCCAGGCTGAATGGGATTTAGAGGTGACAGCACCCTGCCAACGGGGCTTTTTTTTGGCTGCCACGGTGCTGCTGGGGCAGGTTTGGGGGATGCTTTGGCCCCCGAGGTCATTAGGAGCGATCAAAAGCTGCCCTTGGTGAGCTGCCGCTCCTGGGGAGGCAGCGCAGGGATTCCCACATCCCAACCACCCCAAACTCGTGGGTCCCATCTTTCCCAAGGGGCGAAGCAGCTCTGGTCCTACTAGGATGCGATGCCCAAACGCAGCTCCCGGGGGGATTCGGATGAATCGGACGGGGAAACGGGGATGGAGAAAAAAGGGATGGAAAAAAAAGGGGGGACGGGGAAATGACGCAGCCGGCGGGGCGAGCCCACGTGCGGCAGCATCACCGCGAGCCATCCTGTGCCCTTTTTCTATCGGGGCCCCCATCTCGCAGGGGGATGGGAGCAGCTGCCGGGGCCAACCGTGCTATCTCGCAGCCCTGTGGTTTGGCATCTAGCGCAGCCCCGGCACGAACACCCTGCTGCCTCCCCGCCTGCCGGGGGTTTAACGTCCCCAGCCTGCGGCTCCTGGTGCCGCCTTTTTCGCTTTTCATCTCTCCTCGCCTGCTTCGATCGAGGGCGAAGCCGGCGGCGGAGGCGGGCGCACGGTTTCCTTCCTCCCCGCTGCGCTGCGGCGCCCCGCCGGGCATCCCGTCCCGTGCCACCACCCGCAGCCCTCGGGTCCCCGAGGTGCCACCACCGCGGTGCCAAAAGGAGCTGGAAGAGCCCCGGAGATGTGATTTTGGCACGGCCAGGGCAGGATCCGGCCCTGTAGGCACCCGAAGCACCAGCACCAGCACGAGGCAGGGCTTGGGATGGGGTTTTAGGGGTGTTTTTTTAGGGGTGAGGTGGGGGATGCTGCTCTGGGAGGCAACATCGCACGTGGCTGAGGGGCAGTGAGGGTGCCGGGGGCATGTGGCCATCCCAAAGCAGACCCCGCGGCCACCTCTGCCTCGCACCATGGTCACGGCCAGAGCCACCACTGCTGCCTGCCTCCAAAACCAGCTCTGGGAGCACTGGGGGATGGAGCGAAGCATCCCCTCCTCGCTCAGGGCACAGCCTTGGTGCCAGGTGGCCTGATCCTACAGCCCAGATCCACCATGGGGCCGGCTTGGAGCCCTGCAAGCAGCGACCCCAAAAAAAAACCCCTGCAAATTCCCCTGGCTGGGGCACCCCGACACCAACCCGCAGGCACAGGGCGGGACGGGACAAGGATGCTTGAGGGAAATTAACGTCAAATAACATAAAATAACGTAAAATAACATAAAATATATACAGAGAGCTCAGCACGCCCGGCCCCACCGAGCCACCACCGGCCCCGAGCGGGGCTGAGCCCAGCCTGGGGGACGTGTGCCAGGATGGCACCTGTCTGTCCGTCCGTCTGTCCGTACTATAGGTTGGTGATGTAGACCTCCAGCCCGTTGGCAGCCGGCCTGCTGGAGGCTCGCCGGGATCCCCCTGCCCAAATTTCGCCCACGCTTTCGTAGAGGTTCTCGTGGGGACCGGGCTTCCCCGCCCTGTCCCGCTTCGCCGGCTTCTTCCAGCTCACGTCCACCGCCTCGTAATCCGGGTCGGGGCCTCGGGATCGGGCAGTCCAGGCCCTTTCATTGATGGACTCGTAGCAGGGCTCGGGGAGGGGGGCTGCGGACCAGCAGCCAGCCTGGGGGGGCTCCTCCTGGGCTGGGGGCAACTGCCCGGCCCCCCCTTGCCCCGCAGCCCTCGGGGAGGCAGCGGGGCCCTGGCTCTTCTTCTTGGTGGCTTTGCACACCGTGGAGTACATGTCTTCCACCTGCAGACGGAAGGGGGTGTTTTTTTTGGGGGGGGATGACCCCAGGGTGTCCCCCCCCAGGGCATTCCCGCACCCAGGACCCCCAGTGCCTGGCACAGCCCCCAGCGAGGTGACAGCACCCATGGGTCCCCTGCTTTGTGCACCACCTGGGAACCTTTTGCAGGGCACGGAGCAGCACCTGGGCATCGCTCCCTGCATCCCGGCTGAATCCTGCCCCCCCAGCTCCATCCTGCGCCCAAAAAAAAGCTCCTGTTAACACAGAGCAGCCTTTGGCTACCCTTCTCCAGACAGGGCTGTTATGGGGAGGCTGCTCCGCGCCCCCCACCCGGTGAACCACCCCAACACCGTACCTTCAGCTGGGGGGGGGCATTGCCTGCACCCTCCCAGCACCGTGGGGCTGCAGGGGGCCCCCCCACGGCCCCATCCTGCTCCTCGCTGGGCGCCGTCTTCTTCACCTTGCGGACGCAGGCGTAGTCACCAGCCCCGCGCCTTGCTTGTGGGGGGGACCCCCGGGTCCCCGTGGGTGCGAGGGGCACCACGGGGGTGTCCTCCCCCCCCCCCACTGCCAGGCACTCGTAGACCGTGTCCTGCGCCGGGCATCGTGGTGGGGCGAAGAGCAGGTTGGAGTAGGTCTGGTCGAGGGCTGGGGGCTCGGGGACGGGGATTTGGGGCAGCTCGCGGTGCAGGAGGATGCTGACGCCGGAGCTGTGCAGGGACTCAGAGCCCAGGGGGGCCGAGGGTGGGGGGAAATCCAGGCTGGCCGGTCGCTGGTCTGCGGGGAGAGCAGAGATGGGGGCACGGGGATGGAGCAGGCACTGTGGGGTGTCCCCCCCCACACCCCAAAACCCCGAGCTCTGGGGGCACTCACTGTCATCCCTGGCCTTCACCCGGTACAGCTCGTGCAGCTTCGTGTCCGACTTGCTGAGCGAGCGCAGCTGCGTCTGCCTGAGCAGGGACTGCGGGGGGGGGACAAGCAGGGATCAGGCTCTGGCTGGGATGCCCGGAGCCCCCCCAGTTCCGAGCCTGCCCCCCACCCCACCCCAGCTTACCTCGTCCACCAGCTTCACCCCGTCCGGAGGGACCTTCTTCCTCCTGCCCTGGCTGCCGGAGAAGCAGGAGTGAGCTGGCAGGAGGCTGAGCAGCAGACACCCCGTGCGCCCCCCCCCCAGCAGCAGCACCCCCAAACCCACCCCCAGCTCCACCTCCATCCCAAACCCCGCTGAGCGCGCAGCTCCGGCACCCCGGGACCCCCCGAGCATCCCCCCAGCATCACCTCCCCGCGGGTAGCTCAGCCTCGTGGGCTCCTCCGAGGCCACAGCCTCACCCCCAGACCATCTCCTTTGGGTGCAGGACCCCCCCTCGGTGGGCAGCCAGAGCTGAAGCAGGGTCTGGGGGGTGGGGGGGGGGAGAAGCAGCCCCAAAACGCACCCCCAGTGTTGGGGGTGAGGTGCGTACCGGCGGCAGGCAGCGCACAGGGCGCCCACGTAGACCAGGAGGCCGAGCAGGGCCAGGGCAGCGAGCAGGGCCGGCAGGAGGGGGGGTCCCGGCAGCCCCTCGCCGTGGACTAAAGCCATGGGGGGGCCGCTTCCAAAACCGCCGTGGATTGAGCCCTGGGGAGAGAAAACACCAATGGGGGCCACGCGTCTTGCGCTGCGGCACAGGCACCGCTCCCACCCCCTGCCACCGTTCCTTGTGGGGCCCCACCAAGCAGCCGGCTCCCCGGAGGCTTTCCCAAAAATCTGGGGGGGTTTGGGGGGAGCAGGCACTGGGGACCCCGTTTTCTGGCCAGCTGCTGCCTTCCTGGAGGCTCCAATTCTGCTCAGCAAGGTGTAAACGCCCCACAGTGGGTGCTCTGCTTCTGGAAAGCAAAGCTCTAGATTTTGGTTCTTTTTAGAAAAGAAGCAAAGCAGAACTCAAACTCCCAAGATCTTAATTTGGAAACTCGCAGGAGATGCCCCAGAAGCACCACGGGGCTTTCTGGGGACACCAGAGCCGGGCACGGACCGTGGAACCGGGGCAGAAAAGTGGGGAAATATTTGGCGAGGTCACCGAGACGCAGGGGACAGCAAGGGCCCCTGAGGCTGGCTGCGATGACCGGGAGGGTGCAGGTCGTGGGGTGGCCCAGGGGACACAGAGAAGGGGACAACTGGGCTTCCCGAAACGGGGGAGAGCTTCATCCCTGCATCCCAGGGGGGGCACACACCGGGGCACCCCCCTGCTGCAGTGGCTCTGCGCCCACGCCAGCTCCTCGCACGGCCCCCGTGCACCCTCCTGCACCAGCACCCTGAGCTCGCTGCTGCGGCTGCAAAGGAGCAGAAAACACCCAAAAACACGAGGTGGGGAGGTGTCAGGGAGCCCTGCACGCAGAGCAGAGGCTCCCCAGCCCTCCAGGAGCCCCCACCCATCCCAGCGGGGCTCTCAACCCATCCGTCGGCGTTCACCGAGCACCAAAAACACCCAACGTCCCCGTCCCTGCTCGGTGGTTGGTGTGCTGCAAAGCCCAGAGCAAAAACGGCCACCACGTCACCTGCACCGGTGTCAGAGATGGCAGCGGGGGCTGCTCCTTGATCCCTGTGCCCCCAAAAGGGGTGGTGAGCTCCTAGGGATGCGTGTGCCAGCATCGGGAAACGCACGGTGTGAAAAGAGAGACGCAGGAAGAAGTGGTGCAAAGATGATGCCATCGGGGAGGCGGGCAGCACGGTCCCCACGGGGCACCTCCAGGCCTCTTACCTTCATCCCTTTCTTAATCCTGACCCCAGAAATCAGAGGAAGCCTGGCGAGAAGCCCAGGCCCCCTTGTAGGAATCCCAAACGTTGATCCAGGCCCTGCTGCTCCCCTCAGCCCTGGTCCTGCTCGCTGAGCCCAGCCCAGCACCGAGGGGCATCCACAACGCACCCAAAGCTCCGGCTCCTCTCCCCAAAATGTGCCACTCATCCCCCGAGAGCATCACCGGCCAGGGAAAGACCTCGGGAGCTGAGATTTGCCCCCACCGAGGGACACATCTCACCCCCGTGCTCCTGGTGCCACACACGAGCACGTTGGGTGCGCCTTTATCCAGATAAACGGGCAAGTCTCAGCCCTTTTTATCTGAGAACTTCCCACACCTTCGGAAACTTCGCCGACTTCGCAGCCTTAACCCCTGGAGAGCAATTATCCCAACGCAGAAACGGAGACAGAGACGTGGAGGGGACCAACCGGGCTGGACAGACTGGCTTAGATCAGAGCTGGGAAGGAAAGCCTGCACTCTGCTCAACGACGTTTTAATTAGACAACACGGCTTTTCTGTCTGAGCATACATTATTCGGATTACCTGCAACACAGGCAGGCGCTGGAGACAATCCTGGCTGAACTCGTTTGGCTCATTACAGCCCCAGGATCACAGGCTGCCAAAGGAGCTGCACCCAGGGCAGGGGGGAAGAGCAGGCTCCCAAGCTGGGCGGACAAAATTACAACGAGGTGCAAGGGCCGGAGGGTGATGGCAAATCAGAATCGAAGCGTGAACTTTGAAGGCTGAGGAAAGCACAGGCGGGGACAGGCGGTCCCACAGCAGCTGGGTTTTCCAGCCTTGAAATTTTCAGGTTCAAACACGAGGATGCTTCCTGAGCCGGGGTTAACGCGGAGAAATTCTCCTGACCTACTTTGCCAATCCTCACCTTTGTGCAGCAGGGTCTGGGGTTGCTCTCGAGCTAAGAAAATGTCTCCAGCACATTCAGGTTCAGCAGTCACTGGGAGAAGGCACTTTGGGGACAACGTGTTGGTCCCCCAAAATTACAAATTGGAGTCCCGACGCTGGAAAACCCAGTGCCCAACCCAGGCTGCTGAGACGAGACCGAGCAGGTTCGCCAGACGAGGATTTCGACAGCGCTCCTGAAACGTGCAACTGAATTTCCTGCCAGTAAAGCCGTGGATCTCCACGTCCCGGGGCCATTCTTTGGGGCAGGAGACTCGGCAGACGGCATTTCGCAAGGCGCTGGCTCCACGGGCCCGGATGGCTTTGATGGCAGCAGGTCCGTGGGTGCGCCCCGGGGAGGCCCGGCTCCATTTCGTGACAGCCGAGCACGAAGTGGGCTCGTGACTGCAGGACGTGCGAGTTCATTTGTCTCTCCTCTGGGCTTCGTGACCAAGAAATTAAATTTCCTAGAAAACTCAAAGCTGTGCTGCTGACAGCGATCCATCTAGGCTGATAAGAGCGCGTGTGATGCTCGACGCAAGGGGAGGGCAGTCCAAGAAACCGCTGTGAGCGCGTTTGCAGGGAAGCAGGACAAATATTCGGAGCCTATTTCCACCTGTGATGGTGGCCTGGGCTGCAGCTGACACAGCCTTGGTACCCTGGGGACTTGTACCGAAAAAAGGCTCGAGAAGCAGAAGTAGATTTTAGGGTGTTGTTGTTTTTTTTTCCAGTTACGAAGTGAAAGCCTCGTAGCAGTTACTCACCGATGCTTAACCTGCCCACGATCATGGGATGCAATCAGATCTTAAAAATATTTCAGCCCCAAACATCACAAAACTTGGATGAACTCCTCAAAGTCCCGACCGCTGCTGATATGCTGGCCTGGCTTTTGAGAAAACAAAAATCATCCTAAAACCTTCCGGCAAGTGACCCTTTTGTCCACGCCATGCGGTTTCGGTTGCGGCTGCGATCGTTTCAGCGTTCTCCTTCCTTCCCAGCCTCGTGTGGCCGCTGGAAGCACGCGGATTTTCTGCAGAGCTGAGCCTCAGCAGGACCCCAGCTCCGCCGCCACCTCGGTGCTGCAGTGGGAGGAAGCCAGGTTCCAGTAGGCAGTACGAGGGCAGGCAGGAGATGCACGTTGGTGTTTTTTTTTTTTCCTCCAGAATCGCCTGCCTACCTCTGTGGTTTGCTTGCCACAAATTCAGCAGTTTGACATAATTTCAGATGAACCGAAGGCAGCGTTTCAGCCATCGCACTCTCTCAAGCCTCCGCAGACCCCACCTGCAGCCAGGAGCACAGCATTTCCCCCCCCAAGAGCTCTTCCGGATGCAAGCAAAAGCTCTAAGCCTCCCTCCCTACAAAGTAGCTGATTTTCCTTTTTTTGTAAGAAAAAAAATAATAAAAACCATCCCATAACTCCTGAACTAAACAACTTGTTCACCATGGAAGTGCTCCACTCCCCCTCAGCCCCAGGATTTGAGCCCTGGGATCCCAGCATTGCTGCCTCGTTCGAGCCCTTTTGCTTCCTTTCCGAGCCCAGATGCTACCAGAGCGACAAACCATCAAGCCCCGCAGCTGGCTCAAAGTTTTTACCCGGCCAACGCTTCAACCCCAAAGCATTAAAAACATGAAGCCTGCCTGTTGAGTCCAGCTAGCTGCAGCAGCATCTCCGCCGGGGCTGCAGCGTGGATTAAAGATATTTCCAACCCCTGGTTTAGATGCAGGCACCCAAATTTGCCAGGCAAGAAAGTAACCAGCACTTACTTGCAGAAACTCAAAAGCTGGTGAGCAGGAACAGAAATCCAGTCATGTTCTCTTCCTTGCCAGTCAGCCCGGAGAGCTTCGTTCCCTCTACTCCGCGGAATTAGTCCTAATTAGTGGCTCCCAAAGATTTCGAGCATCTCGATGCCAGCTCTCCCGCTCCTCTTCAGCTCGCTCTCGAGCAGGCAGCTCTGTGCAGATACCATGCAGCACAATACCACAGCTCGCTTCCTGGCCTGCAGAGGTTGTTGCTTCACCCGGCAGGAGGTTGGGTTTCTCCCCGCCTTGGCTCTGCGAGCAGCGCTGCAAACGGGCTCTGCAGGCACCCAGCACGCACGAGCACCCTCTGCCGCTCCCCCTGCTCCCACCCAGCTGGTTTTGGAGGCAGCCGCCTGTCCCCAGGTGGATATAAGGCAAGGAACTTGCTACACGTGATCGTTACCTTGCAAATGAACAGCGCCTAGTGAGGACAAAGGGAAAAAAAAAACACAAAACAAACCCAAAACTTTATTCACCAGGGACTCGAACTGTCCCGGGTGGGAGGCAGCAGCCGCTGGAATGGAAGTCTGACAAGGGAAGCTGAGGGAAATCCAAAAAGGATGGAAACACGAGGCAGCTGATACCCCCAGCTGTTACAGAGGTGATAATGAACAGTGTTGGAGCACAAAATTAACCCAAGAAACTTCTCTGCCCGGCTCAGCTCGTGGCACAGCCCACTTCAGCAAGCACCTGTGCTGAGCTGGGTGCCCTGATCCCCGTCACCACTCGAGAGTGGGAAACGAAGGGGAGGGAAGGGCACCGAGCAGCCCGTGTTACACCCCGAGTTAAACCCAGAGCATGGAGAGCACGAATTCAGAACAACGAATACACCACAGCCAATTCAGACAGAAAGCCGTGGATGCCCACGTGCTCGAGGCGCTCCACGAGCCCTTCACATCTGCACGGTGCCCATCGCAACAGGATCCAAACTCATCGAGAGGAAAGAGACGCTAAGAGGCTTCCTGAAGACATTCACCTTGTTTATTTTTGCTGTCGCTCTGTGTTTTCTGAGGTGTGTCTGCAGTAATGCTCAATCACACAGGGCTTCTGCAGCTCTGATCGTATCTCCTTCAGCCTTAGGTTTTCTGGTTGGCTTGGCAGTGAATCAGACAGGTCTGGCCCTACAAGGTGGTGCAGCCCTGCCCAGGCTGACAGCTTCAGAATTTTCTTAGAAACAGATTAAAAAGAGGCGGCATTAAGGGAGCAGAACTTTTCGTGAGAAAAATGACTCACAGAATAAAAGGAAACAGATTATTTTTTTTTAAATTAAGAAAAAAAAAAGTGTCCTTAAGATACTGGCATGAAATCGCTAACTTTTTTTTTTTAAAAAAAAACAAACAACAAACCACAACACTATTACAATGCACAAGTCCCACCAGAAAGAGAGTCTGATGAAACCACCAGCTCCCCCGTGGGGAGCGCTGGCTGCTGCTAACCCCGAATACAACCCTGGGGAGAAGACATCCTTCGTGGCCGAGGACTGTCTGTGGTGCAGGGAAGGGCACTTGGCTTGTGTCCTGCTTCCAGCACAGCCCGAGGCTCTCCCCAGGGCAGAGCCGTGCGCTCAGCACACGCAGACCTCCCGATCTTTGCGCTCACCCAGGGCCTGGTCTGAGCTGGGAGTGGGTCCTGAGGGTTTTTCAGGAAAGGAGCTGTGTTCAGAGAGCTGCCTGGGACAGAAAAACTCAAGGAACAGCAGCAGAAGCACAAGGTTCCCCGCAGAGATGTTCCCATCTCGGAGGTTTGAGGACCTGTTACTCTGCTGCCTTATTCTCCCCTTTTTGGCACTCTGCTTGTGGAACCAGGCAGCTTTCTACACCAAGTTAGGCTAGAGCATGTCCTAGGGATGCTCCTACAGTCAAACTGGAGAAATACGATTCGTGAGGCCCCCGGTACCACCTGAGCTGCCACTTCTCTGTCTAGGCGTTATGCCAGGTTTACAAGAAACTGCTCGTAAAAAACAGAGTTCTCAGATAAATCCCAGAGCACAGAAGGGATGGCAGAGCACAGCTGAAGCCGTTTGCCATGGCTGGTTTGTTGTTTTGCACCCAGCACGCGCCTTTTTCTGCTCTGCCAGAACGTGCCCAGGACCCTGCCTCCGCTCGTCTTCATCAGTTGGCTGCAAACACAAGCCACAGCTGATGGCAGGATGTGGGGCTTTCAAAGCCCCTCCTCGGCTGCTTCGCTGCCAGCAGCGTTATCACCCGAGCAGCTACGCGCCCTGGATGGAGGTGCTGCTGCAGTGATAACAGGAAAAAAGTGTGCAAGACAGCAGAGAACCGTATTTCTGGGAGCTGGTCCTTATACAAGGCTCAGGGCTGGACGGATGTGCGCTTTTCCCCCTCCCAGCAGAGCTCAGAAGCAGCTAGTTTTGGAAACCGCTGCTTTTCAGCCCAATTTTCAGGCTGGGCAGGCAGACCGAGAGCCAGAAGAGCAGGGTGGCTCACACCCAGGCTCGAAGGCCACGAGCACAGGGGCTGGCTAGAAAGATAATCACTGCAGGCAACCGCCTTCCTCGGAGCCTAGAACTCAGTCATCTTCTTGTGAGTGTCTGCTTTCTTCTGCTCCCGCTGCAGACTGGCTTCCTGCGCCTGCAGCTGCCCCAGCTGTTTGTGAGCGTTAGCCAGCTTCTCCTCCAGCTGAGCAGTTGCAATGCTGTGCCTGAAAGCAAAAAGCATGACAGCAATGTCACCCTGCACGGTAAAGTCAGAGGCTCGTCCCCATCCCAGAGGGTTTTCCCTTTCCTAGGGGATTAGCACGAGGAAGAGAGGAAGGCTCTGATGCTCAGCACAACCTGGGCTGGAAAATGTCCTCGTGTGATGCTGCAGAGCTGGGCGTGGGGAGGAAAGGACCCAGCCCCTTCCCTCAGAGAGCTCCTCTTTTCCCCACAGCCTCAATTCCAGGCAAAGGACCCCAGACACATCTGTCGGTGCCCAAGCTGGGCTGAAACACACATTAAAAACTCTCCTCTCTACTTCCCCTCAGCTCTCCTCTACACGTTTGTTCCCCCTGCACCTCATTTCAAGCCCATCCCTTCTCAGACACACCACGAGCCCTCATTTCCTCCTGCAGCCCCAGACAGAATTTTCTCCTACCGGCCAATGTTGCGTGCCAGGGCCTGCTGGATTCCTCTGATATCCTTCTGCGTTTGTTCAATCTTCTCCATTGTCTGGAAGAGGCGGACACTCAGGGCCTTCTTGGTGCTCTTGCTAGCATGGTAGATCTCTTTGCTGTTCCTCTCGGGCAGCGCCACACCTCCAGCCTTCTCCCCACTGCTTTTCCCTCTCAGTTTCTCGTTCAAAAAGTCAAACACATTGCGGGGTGGCTTGCGGCTGCCTGCAGAGGCCCTGCCAGTGTTATTTCCCTTTGCCCGGCATTTCTTCGAGTTGCCGGGGTCCAGCCTCCCCTGTTTCTTCTTCTGAAGCACCTCGGCGCACTGGTCGAGGGATTTCCCTCGAGGAAGGACCACAGCCTGCACCGGCTCCACTCGGCCCTCAGAATTCTTCCCCAGCCCTGAAAAGCAAAGTTCGTGAGACACCGAGACACTCAAGGAAGGACATCCCCTCTCCAAGCCACTTCCCACCACAAATTCAGTGACAAGCTTACTCAAAACAGGCTTTTGGGGTACAAAATGCTGTAACCACCAGCAGAGGGGGAGCAGCACAAACCACAGCACGTCGGTGGATGTGACAGCAGGAGCTTTACTGCAGAAGATAGGCAGTAAAAGCCCCAAGGCCATCCATCAGGCCAGTTTCTGTGAAACAAGGTTCAGCCTTACATCCTCAGCTTCTCAAGCCAGGTTCTTTTTTAAAACTGGTTTGGTTCCTCTGGGAGAACTGGAGACAAGCAGCAGACTGGCCTCCTAAAGCCCCCAAGGCTCAATGCCATTTGTGGAGTAAGAAGCGAGTTCAGCAGGCTTTGAAGTCTGTGTCTAGAGCCGGGAGATGCCTTAACACAGACATCAGAAGCTTCGTAGATCAGTTCTCTTCTTCCTGAAGCCTTTGAACATCTCACACAACAGTTCTCACGGCTTTAATCATGAACTTGACCATGGCTCGAAATGCCTCCAGTTTCTGCTATTACCATACAGGGGCTGGTGCACACATGTGCCTGTGCTTTGATTAACCACTTACCCCTTCTCGCCTGCTAACACTTCCACCTGGGGGGATTCTTCACAGAGCTTGAGCCTTATCTAACATTTTAGCCTTGTCTAAAATCTTTTTCCTCTCAACTAGCTTTAGGGTCCATCACAAGACTGAGATAAAGAGGCAGTAAAGTCCTCGCACCACCCCAACCACCTTCTCTTACCTTTCCCAAACTCGTATCCCATCTGAGCAAGCAGCTTGGAGCCAATGCCGCGAGTGTGGGCTTCCCAGCCACCGAAGGAGGAGCTGCACGCAGGAGCCCATTCCCCATTCTCTGGGCCCCCCGAATCTATCACTGTGGCACAAAGGAGACAAAACAAGTGAAAAACAGAATCAAAGCTGCTGTGCAAAACCTTTACAAGCAGGAAACCCCTCACAGGGCAGCACAACCTACTTCTCCCACCACAGAGTCATTCAGAGTCATCCTCCAGCCTTACGTGCTTCCTCCTGAGCTGGCGCCTTTACAGACACCACCTGGTGAGTTACCTAAATGAGATCTCGTTTGATTTAACGCACGCACCACCTCATAGTTCCAGGGAGAATCATCCTTATGTTTCCCTCCTTCCTTCTGGGATGGTCACACCAACATGTGCCATCCCAGGAAAGTTTGGCACTGACACATGTTAATAGTTATTCGTGCCTCCAGCTCACGTCTCCAGTAGGAGACTCCTCTGGGCAGCACGCTAACGATGTGTTATTAGGATCCAATAATCTCTATTAGGCTGAATTTAAAGAGCTCTAGGACACAAGTTTGTCCCTGTGACATAACTGGGACACGAGCACGGGCACACAGCTCTTTGTGGAAGCTCA